AAATCCTCAGCTGACGATGAATACTTCTGCAATTCTAGTTTTAGTTTCGTTTTTTATTAATAAATAAACAAGATTTTTGTATACAATCTAAAAAGAAATATATATTTTTTAACTTTATACAGGTGGTGTTAAACCTGACGATTATTTGACACTTTATTGGAACGGAAAACTTTTAAAACAAATTTCAGGGCAAAAGTTTGAGTATTTAACTGTTTTGGTCAGCGGCTTTCCTTATTTAAAAAAGAAAAAAAAGCTAATTATAATATAGATTTTAAGGATTTTCAACAAGAATGGATTTGCGCAGAGAAGGCTCCACTAAAAAAACTAAACAGGTTTCTAGATCTTGAAAATTCATTTCTTAAAACAAAAGCAGACGAAACTCGTGTGTTCTTAGAGAAACAAGTAAAATGTAAGCATAGCCAAGGTGATTACAAGGAAGCTGCATAGTTAGCACTTTATCTTTTAGGTGGACCAGAACCTAAAGTATGGAAAACCTGTGGAGCAAATCATCATGCCAGATGGATGTCACACTTGTTGTATTCACTGAAGATGTTCATCTTTAAAGAAGATTTACTTGATTCTGATAAAGCAAAGTTAAAAATCTTTTTGACTTTCAGCTCAGTTTTATATGTTAAAGCTTGGCTAGAAGCAACAAAAGGGTCTGATGCACCAATTAACAATATTCATTTATACAATGATCTAGGCGCTCTAGGGCAGATCTCAGGTTTCTCTAATGCAGCCCAGAAAGCTCAAGAAGTTCTTAACAGGCACTCATGGTATCTAACTGAGGAGTTCTCAGTCTTCAGTCTTTTTTCAAATAAGGTTTCTGCTAAAGAAAAGGCTAACATTGCGTTAAAGTTGATAGATGTAGGAAAGCCACTTGCTATCAACTCTGGAAAACCTAATCTTCTATCTATTCACAAGAACTTAGAGATATTGCCGTGTATTGGGAAAAGATCTTGATTGCTGTTTCATAACTTTAATGATAAAGGTAAATGGCTCAAACTTCCTCCTTCAGAATGGGTGGAAGATGGAAACTTTTTAAAGATGAAACATTTTATCGAAACAGTCAAGGTTACAAACGATGTTGCAGAGCGAGGAATCAAGTTATGTTCGGATTATCTTCAGATACTCACAAAGGTGAGAGAAAGGTATTTTTAAAAAGTATTTAAAGTTTTATTCAGATTTTTTTACAGAATGTTAGGCTCATTTTAGGATGAGGCAGTACGAAACGAAATAATAGAAGTTGTTGAAAATCATAGAAAACTTGTTGGTAATTTCAATAAAAAGGAATTATTCTCTGACTAAGTTCAATTCATATAACAATTTCCATTATACCATTTATTACTGCACGAGATAGCACCATGGTTATATAGAATAATGGATTCGTTTTTTAAATTAGAATATATTTTGTGTGATAATTAAAGCATTTTAAACATTTGGAATAGATGCTAAATATGTCCTAATCCCACATCACCTAAGTTTTTGTAGTGATATTTTTGTGTAAAAACGCGATTCTTTAAATAAAATGCGACAGTACTTAGAAACAACATAGAAAACTTTTTTTTTTTTTAATAATAATTTCTATATGGTATGGAACAACTTTTTATGCAACCACGTGCAATTTTTAAAATTTTTAGATTTTGGCCTGCCCTAATATACATTCAGTATTACATTACTGCCCTAATATATATACAGAAACATTCAGAAGAATCCAGACGCATCCAGAAGCTTCTAGAAGCATCAAAAAGAAGTATCTAGAATCTTATAGAACACGCTCACACAGGTTCATTTTACTATATAAGAGACATGTAAACCGACATGTAATTCAGTCAGTATTATCAAGACAGTTTATCGAAGTGAGTTTTATCAAAGTGTTTTATCAAAGAACATCAATACAAGATGTGAAATACAACAAGTGTTTCATTACATCAATACAGTCCACATCCAACCAAGACGTTGAGTTCCACAGAGCATTATTGTATCATTACAAGGTAAATGTAGTACGTTAAGCCTTGAGAAGCGTGATTATTTATTTTTATTATTTTTATGACTTCAAGTGCAAAAAATGGCTCCCAACAGTCTTGAATTGGAACTAAGAAAGAAAATTATTGGTGATTACGTAAGTGGAATGTCACAAAAAGTTATTTGTGATAAATATCGCGTGAAAAAATGGACCGTATCAAGACTATGTTCCAAATATAGTTCTACGGGGAAGTTGGCAGCAGATAACAAAGGTGGAAGACTGCGTTCCACCACTTCTAGAGTAGATTCTATGATCGTCAGATCCGCCTAGAAGAATCCCTGGATATCATCAGTCAAGATACAAAAGCAATTAGAGCTGCCTGTATCGGACCGAACAATCAGACAACGTGCTGTTGAGGCTGGATTGTTTTCTCGACGCCCTGCAAAAAAACTGTTGATTTCACTAAAGAACCAGAAGAAAAAACTCCTGTTTGCTACATATTGACTGGAATGTGTAGAAATGGCAAACTGTCGTGTTCAGTGATGAATTAAAGTTCAACATCGTTGGGAGCAATGGCATTTGCTGTGTACGTCGACCGGCCAGAAAACGCCTCGATTTACATTACTGCCATAAGACAGTGAAGCATGGTGGAGGCAATGTTATGGGGTATTTTTCTGCTAACCGCCTAGGTCCAATACATCGAATCGATGGAGTAATGGACAGTTTTATGTATAAAAATATCCTGATAGATGTTATGTTACCTTATGCTGAATGGAATATGCTAATAAAATGGGTTTTTCAGCAAGACGACAATCCGAAACACACTGCAAAAGTAGTGGTTTCACTGCAAAAGCAGTGGTTTCAAGACAACCACCTATCAGTGATGGATTGGCTGCCTCAATCTCCGGATCTCAACCTGATCGAGAACCTGTGGGAGATTGTCAACCACAGAATTAATCGTGAAGGTGTTCGTAATAAGGATCAACTGTTTGAACAAATCCAAAAGGCCTGGGGAGCGATTCCACAAAGTTTCATTGATCACTTGATCGAATCTATGCCTCGAAGATGCAAGGCTGTGATCGATAACAAAGGATTTGCCACGAATTATTGATAACGAAATACAGCTTGGTCAACATTTTGTGGAGTTGCACTTGTTTTGTCCATATATATATATATATATATATATATATATATATATATATATATATATATATATATATATATATATATATATATATATATATATATATATATATGTATATATATATATTTATATATTTATATATTTATATATATATATATATATGCATATAATATATATATATATATATGCATATAATATATTTATATATATGCATATATATATATGTATATATATATATATGCATATATATAATATATATATACATATATATATATATATATATATATATATATATATATATATATATATATATATATATATATATATATGTATATATATATATATATTCTGTCAATCATTATCTTGCTCTACAATGTTTATCTTTTCTCTTCCAGTAGTTTCCAACTCTAACTAGTGGTTGCTTGCAGCCTTGTTGAAAGCGAAATTGGTTAAAAAAAAAAAAAAAATATATATATATATATATATATATATATATATATATATATATATATATATTATATCACATTAACCTGTTAATACATTTAAAAAAACAAATAGACAATGTCAAATAAATAACATACTGTAAATTTAACATACATTAGAAACTAATTTTCAAAAGCATCTTTATGCTTTTAAATAGGTGCATTCATATTTAAATGAAAAATATGTTGTATTTGTAAATATACCCTTGCTTTACTTTATTGCTGTAAACTTAAAGTTGTTTAAAAAATACTATTTTGGTTTAAATTAATATTTTTCAAATTATTTAAGCCATTGCTTTAAACCATTTGGTTTAAACCATTTAGTTTAAACCATTTGTTTTAAACCTATCAACCCTGCTTTATGGTATGATCACAGTTGAGAAGTGGATACTCTTTGTAAAACCACCCTAGGTAGTGCCAGTGACTGAGGTTGGAGAAATTGCCAAAACCAACTCCAAAAAGGGTATTTTTGGTTTGATTGGTCATGCGTGGCATTGTACACAGGAAACTACTTCCGCTAAATACCACAACTGCAGCAACAATATAATGTGCTTAACTCATCAAGCTTTAAGCATAACGTTTTAAAAAATTCCTAGAGTATGACAATGTTTACTTCCTCTATGACAAAACCCATCTTTACATTGCAAAAAAATTTTGCTTATGTGGCAAATGTTGTTACTTGATGGTTAAGTATTGTCTCATTAACCTTACTTTTTTACTTAAGGCCTACAAATAGTTATTTGTTTTGATTGCTTAGCAATAGTTACAACAATAAGCCACTGTCTAAGCATACTTATATTTTCTGAACACATAAGCTCACTTTGGGATTAATGTGAGCCATAAATATAGGCAAAAATAATCCTAATCCCAAAAATATAAGCAATTTGGAGTTGAGATCATTTTAGAATAAATGGGACTTTGAACCATTTTTTTCTCAAATATTCAAGAGTTAAATATAGTTTAAATTTGATTTTAGGTTTTTAGGAAATTATCAGATCTGATAATTTCCTTGATAACCTAATCTGCCGGATTAAGAGCAGGATCTCTTACAACTTTTTTCTTACAAAATTAAGATGTACTAAATAAACAGGATTATGCTTTTTGTGTACTTTTTATGTTTTTTTGTGTACATATCTTGTACATCAGAAAAAAGAGTGTAGGAATAAAAGTAATAAAAATAGAAAATAAAAAACAAAAATAAATGAATAATACTTTAAGTGTTGAAGTTATAGCTTTTGAATTTTTAATAACTAATGAGAATCGAGTCATAAAATATCATAAAATCCTTTGAGTTTAAAAATTCCTTGATGAATGATGAAGTGATAAATACAAAAAAAAAAAAAAAAATCCCACATTAAACCTAATAAATAAAGAGAGAAATATAGACTGTTATTTTACATTTTTGTAGATTTTTCAACAAGCGATGATGCACTTGAAAAGCAAATAAAGATAACTAAAGAAATATTCAAACAGCTGAATAAAAAAAGTTTACCAACCAATGTAAGTAAGCACAATTTTTACTAAAGGCTAATATAACGTTGTTATTTACAATGTATGTACATGTATCAAACCACAAGATTCATAGAAATGATATTAGAACCAAAAATTTTTTACTTGTGTTTAATTTCTCTTTGTTTTATTTGCTTTGACAAATTTTATAAATGTAAAAAGTTTTTTTGTTTAAGTTATATAATAATATAGTAAGTTTGTATTAAAATATTAATATTTTGATCTTACATAAATAATATAATATAGCAAAATTGTTGTTTGTCATTTTATTTACAGTTTTTGGCTGAAGTTATGGCCTGTTTGTTGATGCAGGTAGGTGGTTGTAAAAATTGTTTTTTTAAAGTTTATATTTTTATAATGATGTTAGAGATAATGATGACGATGATGATGATGATGATGATGATGATGATGATGATGATGATGATGATGATGATGATGATGATGATGATGATGATAATGATGAATAATGGTGAAAGATGAATTTTTTTGGTTTAATTTTCATTCAGCTTGATGCAATTCCTTCAAATTATTTGGTTGAGCTTGCAGATCACTTTTTGTCAGAAATCATTCAAAATAATGTTGAAAATGAGCTGTGAGTTGTTAAAAGCTTTTACTATTTTAATTAATTTTTTTTATAAATTAGTTTATGTCTGTGAAATTGGTAACTTAACAAAAATAAAAAAATTAAAACTTTCACAATCAACATAATGTCATTAGTGAACTTTCCAATAAATTTGACTTTCAGAAAATGCATCAAGTCATAAAAATACTTTTCAATTAATTTGATTTAAATAATTATTTTTTACTTAATTTAAGGTTATTTTTTATATAATTTAAACTTGGTATTGTGTTTTTTTCTTATTTATGTATTACCTTCATAAAGAAACAGCTCATAAAATCTTATATTAGGAGTTCCTTAATTTTATAAAGCTGTTTCTTAAGAAAAAGTTTTATAAGAGCATGACTTTATATAAATATAATATTTATGAAAGTGCACTTTTATAAATACACAAGTTTTATGAATGTTCTATACAATGAAATATAAATAGATTAATAAATATGAAAATGTTTATACAAACACAATCTTTATGAAACCACAGCTTAATACGAAGCACAAGTCTCATGAAAGCACTGCTTTATACAAGCACAAGTCTTATGAAACTTTATTTTTTCAACTATGAGTTACTAAAAATTTTACCTTTTAATTCTAATTATTTTTTGAAATTGTGTTCATGATTTAATATATAATATTGCAGTAATTTTTGTTGTTGTTGTTGTTGTTATTCACCTCCTCAAGGCCGAGAAGGCCAGATGAGGAGGCTACTCAATAGTGGTTAAATTTAAGTTAAAAAAAATAATTTACAAAACAAAATTATTAATTTTTTATGTTATGCTGCACAATAAACTTGCAACTTAAATGAAAAACTCAAGAAAAGTTATAAAATTTTTATAACTAGGGCAACCAAAAATTTTATGCAAGAAAAGAAAAAATTATTTTTTTCCTGTTAAATTTATTGCAAATGAGTAAGATACTTGTCTTTTAAATTATAAAATTTATTTTGAGACTTACTGACATAATTATGCATGCTTCTCTGATAAGTGTATATTCTTGCATACTCATAATTTATAAAACAAATTTTAGCATAAAATAATATTCTATAGGTCATTTTTTTTGGCATATACATTGAATTATACATTTTGGCATATACATTTTTTACATATACATATTATAAATTTATTTTAATAAATCATCTTTATTCAATAATAATCTTTAATTTGATTATAATAATTTTGAACAAACCATTTGTGTGTGTCTATATGTATATGTATATATATATATATATATATATATATATATATATATATATATATATATATATATATATATATATATATATATATATATATATATTTATATATATATATATATTTATATATATATATATATATATTAGGGTGCATCAAATGCCCCATAATTTTAAAAACAATTATATAACTTTCTGTAATGTAATATGTCTCTTTCTTTTGTAAAAACTTTCTATTGGTTCTCACAAGTTTTGTAAGATTCTTAAAACTTTCTATTGGTTCTCACAAATATATTTATATTTATGTATATATATATATATATATATATATATATATATATATATATATATATATATATATATATATATATATATATATATATATATATATATATATATATATATATATATATATATATGTATATATATATATATATATATATGTATATATATATATATATATATATAAAATATATATAAATATTATATATAATATATATATAAATATTATATATATATATAATATATATATATAATATATATAAATTAGAAAGTTTTAAGAATCTTACAAATATATATATATATATATATATATATAATTGTAAGATTCTTAAAACTTTCTAATTGGTTCTCACTTTATAGAGTTGCTACTATTTAAAGTTTTTTCAAAATCTAATTAGATTTAGGGGAGCCACATTAAATCAGTTTTAAGTTTTTTTAATAAAAAAAAAATATATGAAAATTTCAAAGTTTTGCTTCTTCTGAGAACTAACATGTCATATTATATATTTAGCAACTTAATGCTCATTTGTGTGTGTGTTTGTACAGAATTTATGGCATCCAATAAATCTTACTTAATGGCAAGAAAGAGCGTCAGAATTTTTTTTTAAAGGATGTATAAGAAATTTATGTAAATATGTAATTTATGTAAATTAATAACAATATATCATTTATATTTAATGTAAAAATTTGTAAAGTGTTATGTACAAATGTCAACAAGAGTAAACAGTAGGTTAATTTTAGTTTTCAGTCATATATGGAATGATTGTATATAATATATGTATATTAAAAGAGAGCTTTTCAAAATATTCTAACAATTATAAGTCTTTTTCCTTAACTGTTTTGTTCTGTATTTAAAAAAGCGTCAAGAATCGGAAAAAACCAAAAAGTTTTTTTCTTAGTGGTAGTTTTAAACCTATGAAAACAGTAAGATGCTGACACTAAGGATATCAAATTACACTACTGAGCTACTGAAGATGTATCAAATTTTAAATAAATTATTTTATAAACTTTTTCATACTTGAACACTTTTTAATTGGGTGCTTGAAATAATTGCAACTATACTGCATAGAAATTTATATAAAAAAAAATTTAAAAATCTCAATATTTTATTAAAAAAAAAACGCAAGTTTAAAAATTACATGTAAATAAATTACAATTGAATATAATTTTATTATTAGTAAAAAATTCACTTAAATAACGTTTTGTACAAACATATGGGCATTTCCAAAAAATCACGCACGGAAACTCGTATATGTTTTTACTTTTATTTTCATAAAAATAAAACTAGCGATCTCCAATTTACTGTCATTTAATTCTAATTAATATAAACTAGCTGTCATGACCCGTAAAATACGGGTCTTTAGGATATTGATGCACACTTTATTCGCGTGCTTACAGTTCATAAGAACTATTATCTGGTTTATAACGCAAGAAAATCTCAATCAAATGAAAACATCTAAATGATAACTTTTAATGTCCTAGATACGAAGATTAAACTTATTGATTGCGTAAACACTAACTTTAACATAAATGGCATTTGCGAGACACTTCTTGCAACTTATGTCAAAATTTAATGGTGACTCTAAAATCCTAAAGGATTTTAGAGTCGCCATTTTTTTTGTCGCTTTTATCTAAATTCTAAAAAAAATATCAAACAATGTAATAATCTAAAAATAATAATATGATAATGTTACTATCAATGTAATAAATCTAAATCCAAAAGTCAAGGATTAAAGAGAAAAAATTTGTAAAAAATTCTTTTTTTAAGCCTTAAATTTTATCTTTTTTTAAGTATTTAACTAAGCATTTAACTAAGCCTCGTGGTGATTAAAACCGCGTGGAAGTAAAACTTGATTGGCATTTTGTTTAAAAAACCTAGGTTGGCACTTTGTACCACAGCGATATTTATCATATACAAAAAAGCTGAATTTCTGTTTTTGTATATTTGATCAACAAAGTTTTTTCTCAAAAAGACTTGGAATATGTCAAGAAAGTTGGAAACTAAGTGTTAAAAGACTTCACGAAAAAACAAAATTTTGAAATTTGTGAACAATTTTTTTTCTCTCGTTAGCGAAGTTGGTTCTGTGTCAAAATGCGAGGATCAAACTTTTGATTAATATCTTTACATATGTTGTCTGTATACAATATCTATAAAACTTTATAAGTATTTGAATTTGTATTTAAAAAAATCTAAAAAAAATTAAAACAGTAGTCGCCAACGGTAGGACTCGAACCACGGCAGTTTAGTTCTAAAGCCCAGCGCGCTAACCACTCGACTATGCTGACACATTAAGTAATGATGATTCAAAATTGTATAAAAATTGTTTTTAACGGATATAAATGCAAAAGATTAGAAATCAAGCTGAGTGACTTTAAGCATGTTTTAACATTACATAACATGAAGTCTAGGTACGTACGATATAAGTTTCACGTTTGCTCACGTTTTCTTATAAAGCAAAGGTGAGACTCTTTCTCGTCACTACCTCGAATGCAATGGTTGCCAAGAGTATCGTGTTAAACAGGCTCGAAAGCGCACTACTACTACTATTAAGTTCAGTATTATTAAAGAGATATTTTGTAAACAAAAAATAGTAAGCATTAGTAATGTTAACAAAGAATAAATAAAGTTTGAAATGGAATCACGCACGGAACAGAAAAACTTCTATTTTAGTTACTAGATAAATAAACTTTAATTCCTCGGACAATATAAGTTTCACCGGTATACTTTTTTTTTTTAGATAATATTTTAAACATTAGTAAAGATTTCCAGAAAGTTACAGGATTGCACTATGAATCATAGAGTCACAGCAATCGTTTAAATGCAGTTTATGAATGATCACGCACGGAAGTCACGCACGGATGTTGCAATTTTGTTCAAGTGAAATATTATACTTCTGCGACTCATATTTAATATATTTTCGATGAGAAACCGCAGTCATCGATTATTTCTAGCTAGAGTATGACGTTTTGAAAATTATTGTATATTTTTCAAAATGTAGCGATATTATTACTCAAAAAAATAAAATTGTAAAAATGTGTATATTTAATTTGTCCAGATAGCCTAAAATATGATAAAAATATTTTTGTTATAATTGTTCTTTAAGAAAATCAAAATAGTATGCATATTGCATAAAGTCCCAGCTTTTAATTGCTAAAACAAAGAAAAATAAAAAACCACGCACAGAAATGGAAATGCCCATATGTAAGTGTAAACGTCAGAGGAGGATTGTGTATGAGAAAATATGAGAAAATTTTCTAAAAAGTTTTTTTGCTTAATCTATTTTGAATTTTTGTATTCATATTGTATTTTTTTTTTTTAAATCAGTAAGATAAAAAAACAGAAAAAAAATCTTGTATCCGAGGATTTAAACCTGTGATGATTATAATTACTCAGAACCATTAATGCTTAAATTAAGGAATTTATAAAAAAATTTTCTATAAAAATTTATAATGATATAGTTATTAACTCTTCCTCCCTCCTACTCCTTGATAGTTCTGCTTGTAAAATTTGTCATAATTTAATAATCTGTCAAAAGTGGAGTTAAAAACAACTTAATTAAAAGATTTTTTTGAGAGTTTATTGCACAAAAATTGCTAAAAAAAAGTCAAACAGATAGAATTATCTTGTTTGGCGTAACAATATGAGAAGCTTTGAAAACAAGTGGTACATATCTCTCAACACTGCTCAGTGGGTCAGATGTGAGCAAAATCCCTCAAAACCAACTTCTAAATTGGAGTATTTTCTTTTTAAAAATGTACTCTAGAGACCCTACTGTGATTTTTGAGCTCAGTATATTAATTTTACCACAAAAATGGCAATTTTTTTCCTTTCAAATATTGGTGAAAATTAAAAAATCATATAAAAAAGAAATATAAGGCCAGTAAGGCAATTTTACAGCATTTTAGTTTCTTAATGGTATATATTAGCCCATTGACATCTTATATTGCGATAAGAAGAAAAAATATGAAAATTTATTTTTTATGCTTGCTTTTTTTCAAAGTGTTTTTCAATAAAACCCCTTAAGATGCGCAACCTTTTTTTCAACACTTACCTTTACACATGCAGAAAAATACTTGAAAAAAAAAAAAAAAAACTTGGTTGCACATGTGATCAACTTTAAATTACACTCTCATATATATATAAAAATTTAAGACCACGCTTTCTGAGCTCAGCTGAGCACAGTAGATGCTAGGCTTTTTATTATAAATGGTATCCAATAATACATAGATTTTTAAACATTTAAGTCTTGTTAAAATCTATTTTAAATAGCATTATTAATGTTGTTGTGGAAAGTTATATAACAATTCACGAATACTATATGATTTTTGTTTAATAGTTTTAATATTGATAATTATTTTTATTATGTTTGGGCATTTTTTTAATGTTTGTTAATGATTATTGTGTTGTGTTAAATATATATGTAAACATGTGTAAAATGACGATTTATGGAAGAGAAAATGTATATTATTTGTATTTATATATGCAAAGAGTTTTTATTTATTTTAAAAAAAGAGTTTAGTTAAATTAAGAAAAATTAGTCTGTTTACGAGAAAAAAGGATTTTTAATTTCTTGTTGTGTTGAAAGCAAGAAAACTAATACTTTTAGTTTTAATGTTATAAAATAAACTAAATAAATAACTTTTTTAAAAATTTTATTCAGAAAATTGTATTTTAAATGGGTCAAATGTGTTTTCTTCATTTAAATAATACCCAAAAAACGGAATATTAGTAAAATATTTGTATAAAGTAGTCGTTTCATACACATTAATGTTTTATACTAAAACAACAGAGAGCACTACACAATTTTTCAAGCCCCAAACAACCTATGATCTTATGATGAAAATGCTTTGCAGCTACGATACTTAGGTGTCCAGAATGAGGAGTCAGGGAAAAAGTCAAAGTCTCCAATCAACCTGTGGATGCCAAGGGTCTTTTGATGTACTAATGTATGATGTATGCCATCACCTAGATTCTTATATATATATATATATATATATATATATATATATATATATATATATATATATATATATATATATATATATATATATATATATATATATATATATATATATATATATATATATATATATATATATATATATATATATATAAAATTGTTGGTAAAGTTCAATTTTATTCAGCATTATATTTTTATATTTACAATATCAAAGAAATTAAGTACATAAAATAAAGAAAAATAAAGAAAATACTGTCTTGACAACCCATGACCACCTACCCTACAGGAGTAGTTATGATTGTACAGGCCTACCTGTACAATCATAATTACGTCTGGAGACCAAACATGCCCAGATTTAAATTCCCCAACCTCAATCACCTATATTTAGACATACAATTGTTCCATCTATTTGAAAAGCCATTAAGACATCCCAGTACCACTCTTGACCACACCTAAAATGACCACCTGTATGGTTGTGACCACTTCCAGAGACCAAATCTGTCAAGATTTGATTTTCCTGATCTCAATTATCTTTATTTAGAATACAACATGTACCATCTAATTGAAAAATCATTCGGGTTTCCAGCAGTCATGACCAATCCTGAAGACTGATTTGCCCAGATTCAATTTCCCTGACTGCAATTACCTATATTTAGACATACAACATTTCCAATCATCAAAAAATCATTGGGAAAAATCATAAGGGTATTCCAGGACCACCTAGGCCACCCCTAAAATGACCACAGCAGCCATGACCAATTCTGAAGACTGAAATGGCCAGATTCTAATTCCCTGACTGCAATTACCTATATTTAAACATACAACATGTCCAATCTAATTTTAAAAACTTTACAAAATTACATATAATGTAATGATATAATTTTTTTTTATATAAGACTAAGGATGCTTGTTTTTTTTTAGCATCTCTATAAAGCATTTCAAAAAGGATCTTTGTAAAATGTCTTTATAATGCATCTCCATAAATGGTTTCACTTAAGAAACAGTAAAGAAATGTTTGAAACTACAGAGGGCTCAAATTTTAAGAAACTTCAAGCTGAAGCTAGAATGTTTGTTTTTTATTGAAAAAAATGTGTAGTGAACCAAAAAAGTTTTTGTAGGATTTATATTTTTATTATTAATTATTACATTACGTTAATATTTAATTGCTTAAATTTATTTAGAATCTTTGAGTTGTTTACAAAAGCAGTTTCAAATCTGATGTCATTTGATGTCATTCCAACAGTTAAAGGTTTGTTTTTAATTAGTTTATTGCTTTAGCTACTTTAACGAATACTTTAACATTTCAATTGTCTGTAGTTGCTACAGCTGAGATTCTATGGATTAATGATAAGCGCTCGTCATAAATCATATTAAAGGAAAAGAGTTTCAGTCCGCTCGAGTTTAGGATAATTTTATTGAACACAAGATAGAAATAACCATGATGAATGGCAAGGTAGCGACAGCACTCATTGATATAACTGATTTAACTCTGTGTTGTACTGTTTTTGAACTAATTCCAAGTAAAATGTATAAAGTAAATGCTGATTATGGGAAAAGTAATGCACTTAGAAAATCTAGTTTTACTATAGAATATCTACTCTTCATGGATGGATCAGATGTATGCAGTATAGATTTTGAGAAATGGCAGGTTAAAGGAAAAGAAGGTAAACAGAAGATGAAAGAGAAAAAAATATTGGTTCAGATAGGATTGAAGAAGAAGATTGGATTGATAGCGTTGTTCCTAAATTTGGCGGATCTGGAACATTGAATTATTTAATACACAATGTTTTTTCAGAGTATAATTTTTAGAAATTAAACTTTACAGTTTTAGCATAATATGTACATCAACTGTTGAATCTGCAAGACTAAAAAATTAAAATTGCTCCACTGTATAGCGCATCAATCAGAGTGCTCAAAGCTTAATTTTGTTGTCAGAAATAGATTCCCTGACCCCAAAAACATTAAGTGTATAATATGACTTCATGTAGATGTTTTCTATTTTTGCTAACTTTTGATTTCTGGCCCACTGTTTAGTGATTTAAATGTTTTTTTTTTGTTTGTTTTAATTTCAAGTTAAACTGAATAATTAAAATAAATTACATAATTATATTATTGTAATAATTGTATCAAATATATTTTTAGGAAATGTGGAACCAAACGAATATCTTAAAATGATACTCAACAAGCTATGTGAATCAAAGTAAAGTTTAAGTTTGTGTTATAAATTCTATATACAGAATCCGTATACATTATATACCAAAAAGATAAATGTACTTGTTTTTTTAACTTCAATGATTGTTTTATGAAATAAAATAACCAGATAACTAAATGGTATGTTGACTATTTTTTGGTTGATTTATTTTTTAATTTAACAGTTAAAAGTTGAATATAACAAGTTTAACAAATGTCTAAGATTAGGAAATGAAGTGGTGATAATTTGAACATTTATGTCCTATTATTTTTTGAAAAAAATAATATATTCATCTAGTGTTAGGTTGCTAGTGTTAGGTTACTAGTGTTAGCTTACTAGTGTTAGGTTACAAGTGTTAGGTTACTAGTGTTAGGTTACTAGTGTTAGGTTACTACTGTTAGCTTACTAGTGTTAGGTTACAAGTGTTAGGTTACTAGTGTTAGGTTGCTAGTGTTAGGTTGCTAGTGTTAGGTTACTAGTGTTAGCTTACTAGTGTTAGGTTGCTAGTGTTAGGTTACTAGTGTTAGGTTACTAGTGTTAGCTTACTAGTGTTAGGTTACTAGTGTTAGCTTACTAGTGTTAGGTTACTAGTGTTAGCTAACTAGTGTTAACTTACTAGTGTTAGTTTACTAGTGTTAGCTTACTAGTGTTAACTTACTAGTGTTAGTTTACTAGTGTTAGCTTACTAGTGTTAGCTTACTTGTGTTAGCTTACTAGTGTTAGCTTACTAGTGTTAGCTTACTAGTGTTAACTTACTAGTGTTAGCTTACTTGTGTTAGCTTACTAGTGACAACTTACTAGTGTTAGGTTACTAGTGTTAACTTACTAGTGTCAACTTACTAGTGTTAGTTTACTAGTGTTAGCTTAATAGTGTTAACTTACTAGTGTTAGCTTACTAGTGTTAGCTTACTAGTGTTAACTTACTAGTGTTAGCTTACTAGTGTTAACTTACTAGTGTTAGCTTACTAGTGTTAGCTTACTAGTGTTAACTTACTAGTGTTAGCTTACTAGTGTTAGCTTACTAGTGTTAACTTACTAGTGTTAGGTTACTAGTGTTAGCTAACTAGTGTTAACTTACTAGTGTTAGTTTACTAGTGTTAGCTTACTAGTGTTAACTTACTAGTGTTAGTTTACTAGTGTTAGCTTACTAGTGTTAGCTTACTTGTGTTAGCTTACTAGTGTTAGCTTACTAGTGTTAGCTTACTAGTGTTAACTTACTAGTGTTAGCTTACTTGTGTTAGCTTACTAGTGACAACTTACTAGTGTTAGGTTACTAGTGTTAACTTACTAGTGTCAACTTACTAGTGTTAGTTTACTAGTGTTAGCTTAATAGTGTTAACTTACTAGTGTTAGCTTACTAGTGTTAGCTTACTAGTGTTAACTTACTAGTGTTAGCTTACTAGTGTTAACTTACTAGTGTTAGCTTACTAGTGTTAGCTTACTAGTGTTAACTTACTAGTGTTAGCTTACTAGTGTTAGCTTACTAGTGTTAACTTACTAGTGTTAGGTTACTAGTGTTAACTTACTAGTGTTAACTTACTAGTGTTAGTTTACTAGTGTTAGCTTACTAGTGTTAACTTACTAGTGTTAGCTTACTAGTGTTAGCTTACTAGTGTTAACTTACTAGTGTTAGCTTACTTGTGTTAGCTTAGTACTCAAATTCAAAGCTGTAGTATCCAAAACTAAATGACAAGTTATTGGCATATGCAAAATAAACAATCATGAAATTCGATTATTTATAAGTTCAGCTAAGGTCTTGAATATTTTTGAGTTTTATCTTTGTACAACTATAAAAAGTAATACACTAACTTAGAGTATCATTTATATACACAATATTTTGAACATTTAAGAAAATTGTTACCACATGATAAATTCATGCTGAATCTGCTCAGCAGACAAAACTCATAAGCAGAAGTATTGCCTTATGAACAAATCAACAGTAAGTTTGCCAACATAATAGTAGATAGTGTGACTGTAAACAAGTTGTTATGCCAGATTAAATTTGTTATATTCTAATTTTGTTTTTTGTTTTTAATTTTTACATAAATCGTGTTTAAATTGGTTAGTTATATGATGAAAATGATTATCCTCAGTGATAGTAAGTCTAATTTTAAAATTATTAACAGAAAAAAAAAGAGGATAGTTTGACAAAAAATACAGATAAATATTTGATGGAAAATGTTGTATTTAAACAGTGAATATAGGGGATTATATCTTAAGTGTTAAAGTCTATGGAAGGTTAAATCAATTTGACCTTGTTGTTCAAAGGTGGTTAGCAAGGTATTGCAAAGGTGGTTAGCAAGGTATTGCAAAGGTGGTTAGTAAGGTATTGGTACATACAGGACATTTATTCACTATTTGGTTGAAAATAATATTAGACTCAAGCATTGAAAAGAGAAAAAGAAAAAAAAAATTCACCTTTCTGGTACTTTTAGTTTGCTATTCTAAATTGTATAAAATTTTAAAAATTAAAATTTCTTTATAAGGTCTATAAAAACATTCTTTTACTAGATTAAACATAGTATTAAAAATGCTTGAAGTAAAAGTTGCTGCCATGATGTTATTGGACATTCCTAATACATATAGACAGCATAGCTTGAACTTTATAATATAAAGATAGTAATGAAATAATTGTTTAATAATAGAATAAACTAAATGCAAAAAATCTTGTAAATTTATTTTCAATAAATTGAAAAAAAAAGTAAAACCTTTTCTTTAAATGTTGGCATCAAATGTTAATTTAATCCTTTACTAAAAAAAAAATTTTTTTCACACAAAATATTGTACACTAATTAAAAAAAAATTAAAACATAACTACACACACACATGCACACACACACTTTTCACAAGTACAAAACTCACCACCGCAAACATTTGTTAGCACAAATACAACAAAAACTACCACACTCACTTGTTAGCACAAGTATGACACACACACTCACACACACACTTGTTACCACAAGTATGACGCACACTACCACACCCTGTTGGCTCAAGTAAGCAGATAATCAATTAATATATTTCTGATATAGTTGGTTACATTTTAAGGTTGTTTACAAATAGTAAGATTACTAACATTAAGTAAACAACTTATGAAAATGATTAAAATAATAATGGTTATAATAATAAAAATAATATTTATAACAGTAATAACAACAATAATAATGATAACATGTTATTTTAACAATAGTAATAATAATAATAGTTATAATAATTTGAATAAATCTTATTCTTATAATATAATAACCAAAATATATTGCAAATATTATGACCAAATAAGTAAGTAAATTATTAACAGAAAAACACTGAGAAAACAAAGCAAAAGTTACAACAATCATTACAAACAAAACAAAAAATTTCATTAAGTACTTTTGGCAAAAAAAAACAACAGCAAAAATGACATAAGATTAAAAGTAAAAACAATAAATAAAGAAAAATAATAATAATACCCTGTAGAACAAAACATATAATAAATGGGTGAAATGAGAATAAAAACAAATAATATGTATAAAAATTAATAAAATAAAAAAAATTAATAATAAAATAACTGTATAAAAATTTATATATCACTATTTAAAAATAAAAAATAAAACAAATGACTAGCAAAAAATTATGTAAAACTTTATACGCTAAAAAACTGGAAAAAAAAATTATATCTACAAGATCGCATAACAGTTTAACTAAAAAATAAATCATAAATAAATAGTCCTAATAAATATATGAAAGTAAACTAAAAAAGTATATGAAAGAAAACTAAAGAAATAAAAAAATCTTGGAAAAATAAAAAAATCTTTGTTTGCCAATCTTTTTCTGTGGCTTTATTTCGATATTTAAATGTATTTATTTTTTTTATTTATATTTTGTTAATTTTTTTCATTTGTTAACTTTTTTTTTAACTTCTATTTTCGATACTTTTTTATTTATTTTCTTTCAAGTATATTTTTTTTTCTTTTCTTCTTTTAAAACATTTATTCTTTTTAGTTAGTTGTATTTTTCGTTTAATTTATAAATGTTTTCTTTTCCCTTTTTATTTCTTCCTCATAAATTATATTGACTTCTATTGAGTTTGTTAATTATAATTTTCTCACATTTTAAATTACTTGATATTTAGTTGGAAATCAGATGCTGTTTTATCTATTGTTAAAGTCTTAAGGTATTTTTTCAAAATATTGTTTTTGTTGTTACAAAATAAAGTACATAATTTAGTATATTATTTTATTATTACAATTATTACTCGTATATAGTGTATTATACTATATACTGTTAATATTGACAAATAAATATTATACATTTTTTAGAGATCTACCTTTAAAGGAAGAACAAATTCATGATATGGTGCAAAAAGTTATAAAGTTTGTTTTTTAAATTTTTGTTTAAATATTTAGATTTTTTGTATTTTATTTCTTATAATTTTTTTATCTTTTTGAAATATTTACTGGAAAAAGAAGGGACTAGGATTCTAGTTATGTGCTTTTTTTTTAAGGCAGAATCCAGAATTCCTTTTCAAGTTTAAAACATTTTTTTTTTTAAATTAAATAAAGATTTAATTTAGTAAATTATGTTTTAGCTCTATAGATGTGTGGTGTGTTATAAAAATATAGGTGTGTGGTGTGTTATATCAGATCTTAATAGTGGAACTTTTAGAAGTTAAATTATGTCTTTGACATAATTATGTCTAATGTTTCATCTAGTAAATATTTTTCGACCTACCACATGCCACATTGCTACAGGTTTTGTAGTTTGATAATTATTTTTAGTGGATGGTGTTCCATAAAGAAAAACAACAATGTTATGCATCTGGTTAATCTTTAGCACACATGATTGCAGTTGTTCAAATTATTGGTTGAATAATAAAAGTATTTTAGCAGCAGAGCCAAATAAAATAATAATATTTTAAAAAAGCTATGATGTTTTTAGCTTTATTCTGAAGTTACCTAATATGTCAGGTTCAGCTAATCTGAAGAAGACATTAGGGAGATTAATCCTTCAAGAATACATTAGGGAGATTAATCCTTCAAGTTTCTTTAAGCTCTGTTTCTGCTCTGACACCAAGTTTTAACGTCTTCTTAAACTAGTCTTTAACATTCAAGATACTTGCAACTTGCAGATCTTTCTTGTCTGAGTTTTTTTATTGTTTTGTGTTTTATTATAACTCAAGATTTTAAGGGTTTATGTCATTAATTTTTTTTTGTTTATTTAAAGTTATTATTTGAACAATTACATTAAAAAAAAAGTTAAAAGTGCTTATATTTGCAATCCTAAAGAAAAATAACAGACCAGAAACCAAGTAAGTGTTATTATTGTTTTAGACTAAACCTTTTACAGAAAACTTAAAGTATTATTTACATAACACTCAATGTATCAATGTTTTTTTATCCAGCTAATAATCCAAAACTCACCAAAAGTCATTAGTCTAAGATGATTGGAAAAAGATATATGTTGAAAATATTTTTATTCAGGCAATATTTGTTACATATTTGTTTACATGTTATAAAGTATGTCTTAGTTTGAATAAGTATTGCTCTTTATCTGTTTTTTAGACAAGTCTGTTTTTTAGACAGCTTTATCTGTTTTTTAGACAAGTCTGTTTTTTAGACAGCTTTATCTGTTTTTTAGACAAGTCTGTTTTTTAGACAACTGTTTTTTTAGACAAGTCTGTTTTTTAGACAGCTTTATCTGTTTTTTAGACAAGTCTGTTTTTTAGACAGCTTTATCTGTTTTTTAGACAAGTCTGTTTTTTAGACAGCTTTATCTGTTTTTTAGACAAGTCTGTTTTTTAGACAACTTTATCTGTTTTTTAGACAAGTCTGTTTTTTAGACAACTTTATCTGTTTTTTAGACAACTTTATCTGTTTTTTAGACAAGTCTGTTTTTTAGACAACTTTATCTGTTTTTTAGACAAGTCTGTTTTTTAGACAGCTTTATCTGTTTTTTAGACAAGTCTGTTTTTTAGACAGCTTTATCTGTTTTTTAGGCAAGTCTGTTTTTTAGACAACTTTATCTGTTTTTTAGACAAGTCTGTTTTTTAGACAGCTTTATCTGTTTTTTAGACAAGTCTGTTTTTTAGACAACTTTATCTGTTTTTTAGACAAGTCTGTTTTTTAGACAACTTTATCTGTTTTTTAGACAACTTTATCTGTTTTTTAGACAAGTCTGTTTTTTAGACAACTTTATCTGTTTTTTAGACAAGTCTGTTTTTTAGACAGCTTTATCTGTTTTTTAGACAAGTCTGTTTTTTAGACAGCTTTATCTGTTTTTTAGGCAAGTCTGTTTTTTAGACAACTTTATCTGTTTTTTAGACAAGTCTGTTTTTTAGACAGCTTTATCTGTTTTTTAGACAAGTCTGTTTTTTAGACAACTTTATCTGTTTTTTAGACAAGTCTGTTTTTTAGACAACTTTATCTGTTTTTTAGACAACTTTATCTGTTTTTTAGACAAGTCTGTTTTTTAGACAACTTTATCTGTTTTTTAGACAAGTCTGTTTTTTAGACAGCTTTATCTGTTTTTTAGACAAGTCTGTTTTTTAGACAGCTTTATCTGTTTTTTAGGCAAGTCTGTTTTTTAGACAACTTTATCTGTTTTTTAGACAAGTCTGTTTTTTAGACAACTTTATCTGTTTTTTAGACAAGTCAACTTTTTAACTAATTATGAATGATAATCTTTAATGTTTTTTAAGATTTTGTTTATTGTAGATGGTAAAAAAGGTTATTCTGACTATATTGTTGAATCAGTCAAGCATTTATATCTAGAATGACCTGGTCTGTAACTTGTGATGATAAATAATGTCTTTACAGGGTGGAGTCATAAGGTAGGGCCCGCATAAAAAAGTCATAAAAATTAGTTGCTGCCCCTACACTTTTTTGACAAATCTGTCATGTCATCATGTTATGTCATCTAGTAGATTTGTTAAAAAATTGAAATAAATCTTATACTTAAATATGTTATACATATATATCACATAAATATCCATATAATGTCATATATATTACATTCAACATGCAATAATTCCAAACTTGTTAAAAAAGTCAGCAATTTTTTTATAATCCTCAATATTTTAATGATAAAATTTTAATGATAAAATCAAAAGTTGTACACTTTAAAACAATCAAAAACTATTTTTATTTATTATTACATTATTCAATAGATTATTTAGAATATTTAGATTTTAATCTTTATCCATTAGCTTACACTTATAACTTAGTATGTATCTTATAATTTGTATTTTTAATAATGTAATAAATGTAATAAGTATGTAAAAAATACAAAATAAAATGTAATAAATAATAAATATTTTGAATAAATTTGTATATATCTTATAAATCTGTAATAATAAAATAATTAAACTGTAAAAGTCATCATTAAAATAGTTGAGTGATATTTAGTAACTACAGTAGTACAATAAAGTTTAAGCGAGTAAAAATTTGTTCAAATAAATATTTTTTGTGAGCAATTAAAAAAAAATTATGAGAGAATATCAATTTTTTTTTTTTTTTTGCTTTATGGTGATTACCATTTATGATGATTACCATTTATGGTGATTACCATTTATGGTGATTACCATTTATGGTGATTACCATTTATGGTGATTACCATTTATGGTGATTACCATTTGTTGTGATTACCATTTATGGTGATTACCATTTATGGTGATTACCTTTTATGGTGATTACCATTTATGGTGATTATCATTTATGGTGATTATTAGATACACCATGTCAATAAAGAAAAATTTTTGGATTGTAAACAATTTAGAATTTTGATATTTACGGTTTCAAGCATGTTTCCAGGGTGTCTTTGTATGTAGGCTGATTCATTGAGCCTTCATATATCTTTATGGACCAAGCATCTTTATAGAAAATACATCCCCAAATGCCTACTGACTGCTTCCATACCCTTATTCGCAAAATGAATTATAAATGAAAATAATTTAGCTCCAATCTTCAACAGACTAGGTTAGCAGTATGGAAATTTGACCTTCTAAAATGAATTGCTGGTTATGATTGGCTAGTTGAAAAAAAAATCAGATTTGAAAAACAAGGCTTGACAAATAAATTAGGATGTAGTTCGGAAAATGCATATACTAAAATGTCATTAAATCATAAAGGTTTAAAAAATTCATTCAAAATAGTTTTGTTTATGATATGCTACTTTAATTGGCTTCCTTGTTAATATTAAATATGGGGTAAATCTATTCATTTTTTTGTTTCACTTATTTAGAACTTACATTTTACTGGTGGTAAAGAATCTTTTTTTATAAATGTTTGAAATTCTTATTTTATTATTATTTTAATAAAAATGTTTAAGGCATCATTTTAATAATAATATGTATATATTTTTTCAACTGCAGTTTGTTTTTCATCTTGTTTTTCTTTTCTTTTAAATCTTTGTACTTATATTCTTATAAATTATTGCTGCAAATTGCAATAAATAAATTAGTTATAGATAAATTGCGCATTAATTGTTCTTTTTTTCCCTATAATAACATTCTTTATATATATATATATATATATATATATATATATATATATATATATATATATATATATATATATATATATATATATATATATATATATATATATATATATATATATGTATATATATATATATATATATATATATATATATATATATATATATATATATATATATATATATATATTTAGTGAAGATCTTGCTTATGTAGTTTTTATAGTAGTGTTTCATAAAACAATTATCTTCATAATATTAAGTATTCCATTTACGCACAAGAGTTAACCACTTTATTTTTAATTTTGTATAGTATAATTAACATCATCAGTTTGTATGGAATAGTGTTTCATAAAACAATTGTCTTGTTAATATTAAGTATTCAGTTTAACTACATTATTGTCAACTAATTAACATAAGCAGTTTTTAAAATGATTTTAATGAGCAGAGAAATAAGATGTAAAAGTATTCTTCTTTAAAGTCGTTAACTTTAAAGATTAAAATTCTTATTTTGTTATTATTTGAAGTTGTTGCACGTAACTAAGAACATTTTCTTTTCTAACTGTACTTTGTTTTTTTTCTGACTGTACTTTGTTTGCTTTTTTCATTCAATCTTTTCATTTAATTTTCTTGTAGCTTTTCCCACCATTTGCAAAATCATTGCAATTAATAAATTATTTTTAAATAAATTTAAAACTATCAATGCGCATTTGTACATTTTTTTTTTTTTTTTTTAATAATGAAGGAATTAGATGAATCATATATTTAAAATAAAATTTTGGTAAAAATTTGGTTTATGTAACATAAGTAACTGTTATAGTAGCATCTCATAAAACGATTTATTTTTGTAATAAGTATTTAGCTTAGACTTTATATTTAATAAAAATTTAAATAAAATTTAATAAAAATTGTTTTGATGTTTACAAAAAAATTCAAAATTAAAATACTCACACTATAGCTATTTTTTTTATTGTTGAATTCATATTGAATATGTTAGATTTTTCCTGCTGTTTAGGATGATGCTATGCTCGTTTTGATAAGAAATTTTTTTAATCGTCCAGACCTCGTTGTTTCAAACCTGGTACCAATATTTTCATAATTTCTAATCATTGTGTGCATTTTTCTTATGCTTTTTTCTGATTCATTTGTTTTTTAGTGATTTTACAGTTGTTCAATGAACCTAAATTATGCAAAGTTATTATTTGCTTTGCTTCAAGCGAAATACTTTTTGAGCCTATTTCAAGCACTTCATATATTAAAAACATCTATTTGAAGCAGTTTAATATTTTATATTTTGAAAGCAGTAAAATATTGTAAGCATCTATTTGAAGCAGTTAAATACTTCATGTATTGTAAACATATAAAATTCAAGATTATTAATAATTAAATTTTTTTTATTTTCCAAAAATTATCAATAAGAATGATATTCATTGCTTAATGTCATGCCTTTAGTAAAAAACTATTTATTTGGGTGTTGTCCAAATATAATTGTCACTTTTTTCCTTCTTGTTTGTACTAATTTTGCTAATAAACAAAAAAGTAATAATTTAACGCCTCTCTAATAGTTTTTTTTAGAAATCGCTCACAAAATAATAGGTTTCTATGTTTTATGGGTTACAATAAAACATAGAAACGAGGTCGTTGATTTTTTGCCAACACCCTTAGATCAGCAGTTAGGTCAACATTGCCAAATGCTGACACTAATTGCAAGGGCGTATATTAAAGTGTCTCAGAAAGAAAAAAAATTTTGAATTTAATATTGTGTAAATTGTTAATCCTCCTTATTTGGTAGATACCTACCTCCCAGTAGACCTAATGACAGGGCTATAGATTATTTGGTAGATACCTACCTCCCACTAGTTGTTAATGACAGGGCTGAAAGACACATCAAATTGGTGCAGGGTTTCATTGGAAGGACACATTCCAAAGACAGGCTCTAAGTCATGATGATGGTGGTTTTAGACAACCAGCAGAAGGTATCTAAATATGCCACTAAACAAGACTTTAAGAATATTAAGATAAAAAAAAAACTTTATGGCTATATTTTTGTTTTTGAAATATATTTTCCAACAAAACTTTAATAATTCTTGCACCACCTAATTTTTTTTTTGTATTCCGTAATATTCCCTTCCGGACCCTTTTTGTACAGAGTCAGTCTTATCAAATGCTTAATCAATAGAACATTTAAAATCAATAGTACTAATCTAGGGTTTAACTCCCACATAAACAACCTTTTTAAAGTATTTCAAAAAAACATGTATCCATCTTGGCTAATATCGAAAATATATAAATCTTATTTAAACAAAATTAACACAAACAATCCATCGCAACCAAAAATCAAAGAGCCTTCGTCTTACTTTAAACTACCTTTTTTAGGAAAAATATCAGAATTAACTTAAAAAAGATTGAATTCAATTGTTAAAAGATATTACTGTTCTGTAAATTTTAAACTAGTTTTTTTCTCACTAAAAGTTTCAAAATTTTTTTCCTCTAAAGATCCTATTTCTCTAGAGCTCAAATTGTTTGTGGTCTACAAATTCGTATGCGCAGGAACTCCTGTTATATAGGCAAAACTACTCGCCATCTCAAGACACGAATAACTGAATATTATAAGAGAGACAAAAAATCACATATCTATAAACATATCCAATGTAATGAAAATTGTTTTATGCAATTAGATGAAAAGTGTTTTTCTGTTTTAGATTCAGCATCTAATAAGTTCAAATTAAAACTTAAAGAAAGCATGTTCATAGAATGGTTAAAACCTGGTTTGAACAAACAAGTCAACCATGTTCAAATGACACTTTCTGTTTAGTTATTACTTTCTATGTAAATTTTTATTAACCTATTCTTTTGTCACTTCTGATTTGTTCTTATAGTATGACTTGTTATTCTTATAGATTTTGTTGTATTTTTGTATTAAATTAATAGTTTGTACACAGATAATTACATTTTGTATAGTTATTGTAAAAATCACCTATATAGGTATTTATACAAATTTAAAAATTTAAATTCAACTGAAGATGACTAGTGATAGTCCAAACATGTATTGTTTAAAATTAATAAAATGGTTTTATTAATTAAAAAGTTTGTCTTGTTTATTAAAATATTTACATTTTTTGTGCTTAAAAGAAATTTGAGATATATATATATATATATATATATATATATATATATATATATATATATATATATATATATATATATAAATATAATGTAATATAATATAATATATATATATGTATATGTATGTATGTATATGTATGCATATATATATATCCTTTTATAAATGAATAAAAAAAGTCTTTTAAATTACTTTAAATCATCTTGACTGATTGAGAAAATCCATAGCTCTTATATTAACAACACTAATGCGACATTTCATCGTGTTCGGAAAACCTACAAAATTATCAATATTTTAAACTTCCTTATATTGGAAAAATATCTGACACTCAAAAACATTGTAAATTGTTTACCGTAAGATTAATTTTCACTAGGTTGAAAATTTCAAAAAAAATTTTGATAAAAGATTCCTTTCCTATAGACTTTAAATCATTTCTTGTCTAAAAATTTAAATGTGCAAAGCATGTACATTGAGTGGGAAAAACCCACTGTTAATAAACAAATAAACCATGTAAAAATGACACTTTCAATCTAGTACTTTGTAACATTATCAGTTCTTTTATCATTTTATTGTAGTTTTAATTATAGATCAACTTAATTTTAATTTATGCATTTTAATATATGTACACTGAGGGTGGCTATGATATAGTCGAAACATGTATTTATGAATTAAATGGTTTTAACAAAAACTAAACAAATTGTCTTATTTATTATAATATATACATATTTTGTGCTGAATAGAAACTTTATATATATATATATATATATATAATATATATATATATATATATATATATATATATATATATATATATATATATATATATATATATAAATGTTATTGTAGGATGTTCCATATATATATATATATATATATATATATATATATATATATATATATATATATATATATATATATATATATATATATATATAAATGTTATTGTAGGATGTTCCATGATGTTCCACAAGATATTATTCCTCAACTCATATACCATTCACTTATATTTACAAGTAAGGTATGAATGTAATTACATTTTAAATTATGTTTTGAAGTCACTTATACAAAAGTGTATATATATATATATATAAATATATATATATATATATATATATATATATATATATATATATATATATATATATATATATATATATATATATATATAAATACGTATATATATGCATATATACATGTATATACAGTGGTCAGCCATCACATTAGGACCACACGTTTTTTTTACAATTTATTTCAAATAGATGGCTCAAACCCACATGATAAAATAACAATGATATTAAAATTTTGTTACAGGCCAGGTTATTTCTACTCTTGGTAATATTTAATAAAAATTTTATCAATTGGCAATTCTGTCTGTTAGTAATCATCTTTCATAATCAAATAGGTGCATATTTGACAATTTAAGGTTATTTTTAGTTGTTTGATTGATGTTTCAATGTGATTTATTTTAAAATAAAGCATCTGTGCTTTATTTATTATTATTTTTAATTTGATAATAATCATTAAGTCATTATCTTTAAATAAAAGATTTTATGTTGTTTTTGAGTGGGCTCGAAACTATTTTCACTGGTCTGTTGAGGATTTGGAAAAAGTATTTTTAAAAGTTTTTTTTATTTAGATTGGGAAAAGTATTTTTCTTTACATTCATATTCATAAATTTTTTATAAATATTTTATAAATATTATAACTTAAAATAAGTATTATTTTTGATTTGCTTCTCAGATGAGTTAACCTTTCAAGTAATGATAGATAAAACAGCTTTTGTTTGTCACAGTACAAACAAAAAGTTGCATCCTAACTACATTGTGGAAACAGTCAAGCATCCAGCTTTAGAAATGATCTGGTCTTTCATTTATGGGCAAAAAACAAGGTGTCTCTGCAAAGTGGTTGAGACAATGAGGCAAGGCTAGTATAAAGAAGTTATAGAGAATTAGTTCCTTCCCCAAAAAGTAAATTGGTTAAAATGTCAAAAAAAGTCAAAAAATGTCAAAAATCTTACATTAATGCAAGATGGTGCAACTTGCCACACAGCAAAAAGTGTTATGGCTTATTTAAAACAGAAAAAAGTTGATGTACTACCATGGCCAGGCAGCTCACCTGATCTTAACCCCATAGAAAACATTTGGGAAATAGTAAAGTGAGAGATTGGAAAAATAATTCTTTCTAACAAGCAAGATCTTATGGAAGATATATCTTATGGAACAATATATATATATATATATATATATATATATATATATATATATATATATATATATATATATATATATATATATTGTTGGTAAAACACGGTTAAAGTTTAGGGGGTATTACTGCTCTTCCTTTTTTTTATATATATAGTTTAGGTGTTTCATATCTAGTTTCAATGTTATTATCTTTATTTTAAATTTGTTATTAATACGATACTTAAAGTCTATTTATGTAAAAATAAAATGATGTTTGCATATCTTATTAAGTCATTGAAAAAAACTGCGCTGAGTGCAAAATCTTTATATATACACACACATATATATATATATATATATATATATATATATATATATATATATATATATATATATATATATATATATATATATATATATATATATATATATATATATATATATATATATATATATATATGTATGTATATATATATATATATATATATATATATATATATATATATATATATATATATATATATATATATATATATATATATTGTACAATATATATATATATATATATATATATATATATATATATATATATATATATATATATATATATATATTGTACATATATATTTTAATCAAAATAAATTTTCTATTTTTGCTGGGAGTTACATTTACAGCAGGATTATTTTTCTACTTTATATATGTTTAATTTTAATTAATCAACTTGTTTCATTATGAACAATCTTCTAAAGTTTCCATTTAAATCACTTCTTTTCTTTGTTTTTTTTTATACTGCAGCCCTTTTTTTAAAACGCCTTAATTACGTATTTCGAGAAAAGCGCAATGAAAAAAAACTATTAGGAGTAACTCTTCGTGAAACGCTTTTTGAAACTAATAATTTTTATGAATTTTTTTAGAACTCTTTGAAAATGTGTATTCAATAATGTTTGTAGACATCTAAACTAGCATATTTTGTAAAAATGTCAAAACTGATTTTTTTTTACCTAAAGGCGTTTTGAAAAATGGCTGCAGTATAGTAGAGAGAAATCAAGAACAAAAGACAATTGTTTGCAGTTTTAATGAATAAATTATTAAATTTCATTAAAACTTTGATCTATTTTAATTGCGTAATTTGCTTTTTAAATACAGGTTTAAACGATTAGTTCTGAAGAAATATATTTGTATATATAACTATTTAAATACTTAAAAATTTAATCGGCATGTTTAAATATCTAGTATATTAGGTATTTAAATAAGAAATATATTTAAATACAAAATTATTATTATTTTTATAATTTACAAATATACATTAAATATTTACGTAATGTTTGTATTTGTAAATTTAAAAAAAAAGTTTTGTATTTATAAATATTGGCTAATAATTAATAATATTATAATATTATTTAATTATCTTCTTTTATGTTTTACGCAAATGTAACATAGATTATATGTTTCATTGCAAGTTTTATTTTTGATTATTTTCCTTGTTATCCTCAGTTTGCTTTACTAGCTGATTTATTTTACCAAAAGTATTAATAAATCTTTTATTATAAAAATGTTATTAACTTATTTTGAAGTATAATATTTATTATACTTTAAAATAAGTTAATAAGCTGCGTATAAACTTTTAAAAATATATTTATATTTTTTCTTTAATTTATAATTATTTCAATATTTTGCTGATCTAGCGTGATCAGCGTCATCAGGTATAATAAATATATATACAAAGAAATCGTTATAGTAAAAACAAACCGTTAAAAAGATAACATTAAAAAGCCAAAATATAATACAAAAAACTTTTAAAATAACTGGCGTCAGCAGATTCCATTAAAAAATAGTCCCCTGGTTTTAGTTCTCACGTTATCATCCTCATCCCAATTGAGAACCACATCACTATTTCTCAACTCCTGTCGAACCCTAGCTTTGCTTATTTCGAGTGACTCTCTGATTTTCAGAGTTCGATATTTTGGGGCTACAGATAGTGTCTTGGGGTGCAATCAAACTTACCATGGCATGTTTTAGAATGTTTAGTAGCACCCGGACTGGACCATTTTTCTTTTAAACTGTTTTTCTGGTGTCCAATACATCTCGGTATCACCTTTTTAGTTTCGTCAAAGTATATCAAACCGCATGAACATTTCAGCTGGTATACGCCAGGGTCTGTGTTTAGTGGTAGTTTAGTTTTATTGTTGCAAAAAATATTTTTTAAATTAGAGGTTGATGTGAAAATAACCTTTACGTTTTGCTTTTGAAATTCTTTATGAAGTTTTAGACCAACAATTGGTATCCAAGGTAGTTTTATAAAGGGTTGGGCATCTAATGGTTGAAATGTGGTGTTTTTTGAACCGTTTTTTAAATAGTCTATAGTAATACTATTTAGAATGTTCTTGTCATGGCCATTTTCAACAAATATGTCTATTAGAAAATCAATTTCTTTTTGAAGGTGTTTTTGAGAGCATATTCTTTTTGCACGACATAAAAATCCTTTAAAAATGCCAATAATAATGCCAATAATAATGTTAGGATTAATGTTTAAGTTTAAGTTGAACATTTGTAATAGCTTCTTTTTTATGTATTTGAAATTCATAAGCTCCAGAGCCTGTGTTTGTAATAAGCACAGGATGTTGGTCGACCAGGGTGCTTTCTATCAGAAATTGAACATTGAACAGTTTTAAGTCTTTTTAGGTTATCATATATTGTACTTCAAGCAAATCATTCCTTTTCAAAATGATTTACAATTTCTTTTTTTTAATTGTTGTGGTTAGTCACAGTAGTAAAATTTAATTGGTTTATTTTAAGTCACGGCTGCAAATATTATTGGTTGATTTTGAAAGTTTTATTTGTACATATTTAAAAAGAATTGCATTTCCACATTGTACATTTAACATTGTGGTATCTTATTGTTTTGTCTTCCATGGTGATCCGGGATCGAGTCCTTCACTAGGAAAAATATTTTAAAATGTTTTTAAACTATTTTTTATTGAAAGTTATTATTATTGTTGTATATATAAAGTTATATTGATTTTTATTATTTACATACATCAACTGATATAGGGATAGGATCAGTGAGTGTACATGCATTGACTGACTTAGGGATAGGCGCAGTAAGTGTACATACATCCACTAATTTAGGGATAGGCACAGTGAGTGTACATACATCCACTGATTTAGGGATAGGCCCAGTGAATGTACATACATCCACTGATTTAGGGATAGGCGAAGTGGAACACACATACACACATCAACTTATTAAGGGATAGGCACAGTGGAGCGCACATACATCGATTAAGGGTTTTGGTTTAGGCATGCATTCTTTAAATAAAAGGGGAAAAAAATCAACCAATCAGAAATCAATACTGTGTCTTTAAGAAAAAAATAAAAGCAGCGGTACCATTGTTTGAGCAACAGTGTTTTTTAATATTAGATTTATTTACAAAAAACATTTTGAGTTGCTTTTGAAAAGATTCTCATTCACCCATTATATATATATATATATATATATATATATATATATATATATATATATATATATATATATATATATATATATATATATATATATATATATATATATATATATATCTATATATATATATGTATATATAATTGTATCATATTTATATACACATATATATATGTATTATATCATATATATATATATATATATATATATATATATATATATATATATATATATATATATATATATATATATATATATATATGTATGTATATATATATTGTATCATATTTATATACACATATATATATGTATTATATCATATATATATAAATATATATATATATATATATATATATATATATATATATATATATATATATATATATATATATATATATTATATCATATTTATATATATATATATAAATGTATGTGTATAAATATATGTGTATATATATGTATATATAAGTATATATATATATATATATATATATATATATATATATATATATATATATATATATATATATATATATATATATTATGTTGTATATATATTATATCATATTTATATATACATATATATATATGTGTATTATATCATATATATATATATATATATATATATATATATATATATATATATATATATATATTATATATATATATATATATATGTATATATATATATATATATATATATATTATGTTATTTAGTACAAAGGTCTTACCATAAAATATAGAAATGAGGTCGACAATTTCTTGCTGACCTCAAACACATTCAGGTTAGCTGTTAGGTTAGCATTGCCGACCCTAATTCCAAGGGTTATATATATATATATATATATATATATATATATATATATATATATATATATATATATATATATATATATATATATATATATATATATATATATATATATATATATATATATATATATATATATATATTTATATATATATATATACTCTTGCATGGTAGTTAAAAAGAGTTTCCCATAAACTGTAGTTTTAAAGAGCGCATTAATAAACCAGACCAGAAAAAGTTTAAAAACTTAAATTTTTTTTTTTTTTTAAGTGATAGACTGCCTGCCTAAACCAAACCCTCAGTCGATGTAGCAGCACTCCCTTGTGAGTCAGGCTATTTGTCAGTCGTTGTAGCAGCACTCCCTTGCGAGTCAGGCTATTTGTTAGTCGATGTAGCAGCACTCCCTTGCGAGTCAGGCTATTTGTCAGTCGATGTAGCAGCACTCCGTTGCGAGTCAGGCTATAAGATAGTCAATGTAGCAACATTTACGCATGTTTTAAAAATGTTTTTTAATAAAACAAAAACAAAAACACTACTAATTAAAAAAAACTTTCTAGTCGTTATTATTGCGGTTTTTTAAAAAAATTTTAAAAAACATTAAAATTTAAAGTACTTCCGCATTAATTTAATTGTTTTGACATTTCGACGACAATGAAATACAGCTTAAAAGAAGAGGTAATTAAAATTGTAGTCGAAAGAGACTTTTTTTACATTAAAAGACTCTTTCGACAACACTATAAGGATATATATATATATATATATATATATATATATATATATATATATATATATATATATATATATATATATATATATATATATATATATATATATAAATATATATATATATATATTAGGGTGGTCCATAAAACAACTTTTTTGAGAAAAACCTGCTGACACCCCCTAAATGTGTTTTATCTAATGCAAAAACACTAGGTTTAAAATTTTTTTGAACAAAAATTATTTTTAGGGGTAGCTCAAGGCCCTCAAAAATTTGACGGGTCCCTAATATTTTGAAAAAAAAACTTTTTCTAAAGTATGTCAACCTGGTACTCAAAATAAGCAAAATTATATAAAAAATTTAAAAATGATAATAATTTTTTATAAAAATAATTTTTTTAGGTATAAATGCATAAAAACTATTGTTTTTAAGCTGAAAATAAAAAAAGTCAATATTTTCAGGTTTTTTGAGAATAATTTTTTTTAGGCATGTTTTTTATGTAAAATGATTATTATTTTTGAAGTTTTTATACAATATCGCTTCTTTTGAGTACCAGGTTGACATACTTTAGAAAAATTTTTTTTTCAAAATATTAGGGACCCGTCAAATTTTTGAGGGCCTTGAGCTACCCCTAAAAATAATTTTTGTTCAAAAAAATTTTAAACCTAGTGTTTTTGCATTAGATAAAACACATTTAGGGGGTGTCAGCAGGTTTTTCTCAAAAAAGTTGTTTTATGGACCACCCTAATATATATATATATATATATATATATATATATATATATATATATATATATATATATATATATATATATATATATATATATATATATACACTATATTATATTTAATCATAATTTTTTTTTTTTAAATTATTAGAGCTCCAAACAAGAATTGTTTAAGTCAGTTATTGAGTTTTTTCATTTAAATTCATCTGCAAATGTTGATGAAGATTTAAATCCATTTCTTCGTGATACTGGTGATAAAAAGTTTAGAGAAGTTGAGAAAAAGACATTAGAAAGAATTTTATTTGCTGCAAAGCATGAACTTACTATTGGAAAAGATTTTATCAAATTAATGAAGGTTTGAAAAGTTGTAATTATTTTCATGAATAAAAAATTTATTTTAATAAATGTTGATAATTTATGGTAAAATGTTGGCATTGTATAATTAATATATAAATTTTGTTTTTAAATTAAACTCTGGTCAGAAATTTATTTGAAAAATGCAAGAGCAGATAAAACTATAGATTTCATATTTTAAAAATAAATTCAAAATTTTGAAAAAATAATTATAGAATGAAGAAGCATTAAATGAAAACTTACTGTCACCGTTCTGTTTTGGTATTTGTTTAACTTTAATTGGTATTCACCAACTTGAAGAGCAGGTTTGTGACAATACTATATATATTTGTGACAATACTATATATATATATATATATGCGGTAGTGGTGTAGTGGTAGAGCGCTCGCTTCATAAGCGAGAGGCTCCGAGTTCGATCCTCACCACGTCTCTGGTAGTACCGCGCTCAACTTGTTTCTCTGCGCAGCGGCCTTGTTCATCAAGGTTCGTGTTTCGGAGTTATAGAGTTAAGAGAGGGTTATAACCACAATTAAGTAGCCTCCTCGTCTGTAGTGGCCTTATTGGCCCTTGGGGAGGTGAAATAACAACAAAAAAAAAATATATATATATATATATATATATATATATATATATATATATATATATATACATATATATAAATACAAATGTATATATTATATATATATATATATATATATATATATATATATATATATATATATATATATATATATATATATATTTATATAAATAAATATATATATATATATATATATATAATATATATATATATTTATATAAATATATATATATATATATATATATATATATATATATATATATATATATATATATATATTTATATTTGTATATATTTCGATATATAGAATATATTCGAGGTTAAGTATTTTGATGTAATAATACGAAGTCTCTTGTACGTGTTACAGTGCTCAATATTACTGAATAATAGAGCTATATATAATTATATTTAGATGAATAAAAACAACTGATTAGCGGGACTTAAAGTTTCATGTCTGAAGGCAATCATCAGCCGTTAATACAAACAAAAAACGTAAACAAACCGTTACAAAAACGTAAAAATTACTGTAGAATGACATCTGACGTTATAAACAAATCTACGTAAAAAACAAATCAAAAAACAAAAAACAAAAAGCCGTTATAGTTTATTAGTCCCCTGTGTCAAATAAAGATAATAGGAACTTTTTTACGATACGATTTCGTTTTTTTTATTTAGTAGATTTTTTCCATTATGCGATAAAATTACATATTTTTCGTAGAGACAAATGTGGCATATTTTTGTTGCTAGATTGTAAGGTTTACAACGTTTGACAATTTTCCATTCTAAAATGGGCTTTATGTTTTGGTCTTTTAAACTCCATATTTCCTTAGATAGTTCTGTGTCATTTCTATATTTAATTGATGCAAATGATTTGAGATGGTTTGCGTATCTTAGTTTAAATGGTGTATTACTAATGCCAAAATATACTTTTTTATTACTATCATGATGACTGGAACCTACGGTTGCTTGATAGACAATATTGTTAGATAAACATTGATTGTTCAAAGGGCAAAATGCTTTATCTACGCAGTTACATTGGTTGGTTTTTAATTGATTTTTGCTGTGTAAAATTTTGGAATTATGCGAATTTATGATAGATTTATTCTTGTGTAATTTATCATAAATTCGCATAATTCCAAAATTTTACACAGCAAAAATCAATTAAAAACCAACCAATGTAACTGCGTAGATAAAGCATTTTGCCCTTTGAACAATCAATGTTTATCTAACAATATTGTCTATCAAGCAACCGTAGGTTCCAGTCATCATGATCGTAATAAAAAAGTATATTTTGGCATTAGTAATACACCATTTAAACTAAGATACGCAAACCATCTCAAATCATTTGCATCAATTAAATATAGAAATGACACAGAACTATCTAAGGAAATATGGAGTTTAAAAGACCAAAACATAAAGCCCATTATAGAATGGAAAATTGTCAAACGTTGTAAACCTTACAATCTAGCAACAAAAATATGCCACATTTGTCTCTACGAAAAATATGTAATTTTATCGCATAATGGAAAAAATCTACTAAATAAAAAAAACGAAATCGTATCGTAAAAAAGTTCCTATTATCTTTATTTGACACAGGGGACTAATAAACTATAACGGCTTTTTGTTTTTTGTTTTTTGATTTGTTTTTTACGTAGATTTGTTTATAAATTCAGATGTCATTCTACAGTAATTTTTACGTTTTTGTAACGGTTTGTTTACGTTTTTTGTTTGTATTAACGGCTGATGATTGCCTTCAGACATGAAACTTTAAGTCCCGCTAATCAGTTGTTTTTATTCATCTAAATATAATTATATATATATATTTATATATTTATATATATATATATATATATATATATATATATATATATATATATATATATATATATATATATATATATATATATATATATATATATATATATATATATACATATATATAAATACATATGTGTGTATATATATATAATTGAAAATATATCATATACGGTGACATGCTATTTATTTAACTAAAAATTTTTTTTAATTTTAAATGTAATATTCCGGCTCATATAGTTGGAGACTTTTTTCAAACTCTTTGTTTTAAAAATGGCTCCAACTATATGAGCCGTAATATTACATTTAAAATTAAAAAAAATTTAATAGTTAAATAAATAGTATGTCACCATATATGATGTATTTTCAATTTTAATATATATATATATATATATATATATATATATATATATATATATATATATATATATATATATATATATATATATATATATATATATATATATAGCTGAATGTGTTATTGCTACACTCTAAAATAAAGAATTCACAATGGCATTGTATTGAATAATTAAATATTCCCTTAAAAATTTAATATTAATTTAATATTCCCTATTAAAATTAGAAAGGAATTTAGCCAGATAGAACTGAGATTTGATTACAAAATAGTCTTTATTTTCAGTATATAAATTATTTAAATTATCTTATTATGATATTCAACATTTGATACAAGCAGTACTACTTATATAAACTAACTTGATCAGGAGAGATTTTTTAGCATTCTTTAAAAACGTTTTAACTTTTAAATTGAAAACTAATTAAATATTTATAATAATTTAATTCAATATAGAAGTTTTAATTTATGATTAAGTTGAAAAAGGCCTTTTTCTTAAACAACATTTATTTATTTTAGTTTGTTTAATTCAATATAGAAGATTACAATAAAAATTAAAAAACTTCAATAAAAATATAAAAAGTTTCTTGATATATATTTTATTAAATACAGTTATTATATTCAAGGTCAAAAAATATTTGTATACATGTATACAATTGTTACTATACTAGGTTTCAATTTTTAATACTGTTGTAAATTCATGTGTGTGCACATTTCAATTCCAGCAACCTGTTGTCGAATATTTAAAGATAAACAAACCTTAAAACATAATAAAGAAAACATCGAATATAAATGATATACCATAATTCAAAATGGAAATAAATTTTTAGTAATAACCCTGTAAGAAACATTTGTTGCTAGTTCTTTATTTCTAATTTGCTAATAAAAATTCTGTTATTTTATTAGTTCTACATTTTAATGTATTAAACAAAAATTAAATACGCTACAAAAGTTAACCATACCTGCTAAGTGAAAGGTTCTAAAATTAAACTAGCTTTATGTAAACATAACTGCAACTAACCTAAAAAACGATACCCATCAAAAGAAATGTTAACATTTTTAATTTTACAACTGATTTAAATTTAAATGTAAGTTACTACACGTTTAAAATAGAAAATTACACAAGAATATATACAAGTCATATAGTCTTGATTATAGAGATAATTGTTTAACTAACCCTTTAGTTTGTCATATAAAAAAAATTAAAAATAAATTCAATGCTTTATACAGAGAATTTAAAATAAATTTAATAATTTTTGAAAATACAAACAACAAAGTGTAAGTTAAACTGTGTTTATCCTTTTGCTTTCTCTACTAAAATTTAGTAAAAAAAACAAATAGATTAACACAATTTAAACTACTTTTTTAAAATAGCTTCACATTTAGTTGAAATGTGAAAAATGATAAACTAAATTTACAGCAACAAACCCTTTTTTAAACAAAATAAATGTTGTTTAAGAAAAAGGCCTTTTTAAACTTAATCATAATTTAAATTCAAACAATAATATAATAACAATAATAACAAGAAATTATGAAGTGCTTTCTATATCTTTAAACTAAAAGTTTAAAAATATAGGAAGCACTTCATAATTTCTTATGGAAATCCTTTTTAATAAAAAAAATCAGTTGTTTTTCAACAGATTTGAATATTCAATCCATTTAATTAACAAAATTTTAAAGAATCCATTAATAGTTAATTTTACCCCATTAATTTTGTGGTTTTTAATGAAAAATTACTTCATTAATTTAACGGAAAAAGCAATCTGTTACTTTTTCTAACATTGTTTATAGAGTGTATCAACATAAAATGTAAAATAACAACCAACCCAATTTAGAAGTAGTGAATAATTTTTTTGAAATTTTATTTTATTGAAACTTTTTCAATTCAGCCGAGCCTATGTTATAGGTTCGGCTGATTTGAAATTACTTGATTTCAACAATAACCCGAATGTTATTGTTGAAATCAAGTAAACAATAAATTTTACTAATTGTGTAAAGGTTGCTAACAAGTAAGTTATTATTGAAATTTAAATTTTTTAGTATTTTATTAAAATGTTGTTAATTTATTCCAGTTAGTTTATGTCAGTTTAATAGTTTGAAGTATTTTTATATCTAGATTTAAATAAATATCATAAATAAAAAAGAATCAGTATTGCAATTGAAAAGAATTATGGATATTGACCTTATGACTATGTTGTAATTGTTCCAAACACTTGACAATTGATTCAATTTTTTTGCTACAATTATTGTTCTATCTTGATTTCAAACTTAGTGACTGTATTACATTATTATGGATTACGTAGGAGTACTTAATTATGATTGTTGGCACTTATAACAGAATTCTTGGTTTATACACATTAGATCTCCAAACATAGATCTTAAAAACTTGCTTGTTTCATTAATAAAGTTTATTCTCCATCAAGGTTCAAAATAAAGAAGTCTTTCAAACTGCTAAATTTGTCTTAATAAACGAGAAGGTTGGAAATATTTCTGAAAAAAAATAAACAGGGAGGGGTTTAATAAGCAGGATGGTTTTATGTATGTATGTATGTATGTATGTATGTATGTATGTATGTATGTATGTATGTATGTATGTATGTATGTGTTAGCCCCCGCTATTTCAAAATACACCAGAAATCAAATGACAACCAATGAAGGTTGTCATTTGATTTCTGGTGTATTTTGATGAGTACATAGTGAAAATTATAAACTTTTTATTTTTAAGTTGAGTTTACTATCTCCTCCAGTCTATTGAAATTTTTAACATTTTTTTCGAACCTCCTTGTTTTAGGGAAAAGTATTGTTTGCGCTAATATTATGCGTAACTTATTCAAGACAATTTAATAAATTAAACTTATAATGTAACATAAAATACTCTCTTGGGAAATCTTAAATGTTAAAAATTATACAATAAAACAGGTTTATTACTAGTTTTACCATATGTATAATTCAAGGTTTTGTTCACGCACGATTTTAATTTGTGTCTCTAGGGACATTGTAAACATTTATAAGAAATTTTTTATTAAACATTGCACTTACTATTGTCTGGAATTTGGAAAAATATATGAGATGTCTCAAACAAGATCAAAAAGGGTTTTTTTTGGTAGAAAAAAATATCTAAAAGTTACCTGATAATAAGCTGCCAACAAAAGGAGAAGTTCTTGGATATCTTCATTATAGAAAATACTATATCACATCAATTTCTAAATATGCTAGACTTCAGTATGTTGTTGCCTGCCCTCTTTCTAAATTTTTTTTTACGCCTAATTGTAAGGAATTTGGTGGTTGTCAGACGAAAGAGAAAAGCTTGATGTGTGTTACTAAAGCATTAGTTAATATATGGGAAAAGGCTTCAATTCCAATATTGTGTCATAAACAAATATGGTATAAGTAATACTTTAAATTTCTAATTTTGACAAAAATAATATTTGCATAAATATGATAAAATGCTAATAATTAATTTTACTTTTTAACTTATACATATATCTTATAGGAATAACATTATGAAATTGGAAAATCGCAGAAGTAGATTTCTAACAAACAGAAATAAAGTACCTAATGGGTATAAAAAATCGGGCGTAGAATTTCGGGAAGAAATGCATAATCTTTTTCGACATTACTCCTTCAGATGTTAATGACATAATAATGAAAGATAAAAATAAATAACTTCCAACCAGAAAAGAAGATCGTATGTTTTTGGACGACCAAAAAAACCTGCGAAATTTGTCAATTGATTGTAAGGATAAAAGTTATGAAACGTTCATAAAAAGAAAGATTGTAAAAACAAATCAATTTCAAGCAAAAATGATAGGTCAACAACCGTCTGACAACATTTTTTAATCAAGTCTTCAAAAACATTTTGATACTGAATTTGTAGACTCAGATTAGTTAGATATAGACTTTAAAGATTACAATTCAAAAAGGAAAAAAACTGACGGTTTAGTTACTGTTTCTTTGCCTAAAGATATAATTAAATCAACATCAATTGTTGCAAAAAGATATATTTCTTTAACTGGTCAGGTAGCTATAATTGCAAGTATCATAAATGCAGGCAATCGAGATTTGAATAAGTTTTCCTTAACAGAAACAACTTCAAGAAGGCATAACAAAATGGTCTTAACAATGAAGGAAATAAAATAAAAGAATCTTTTATTTCAAAAGCTAAACACTTTTCTCTGACTTTTCACCTGGACACAAAAAAAGTTACAGATGTTCTTAATCATGGCAAAAATGTGGAAAGGTTGGCAGTAATTGTAAGTTCACCAGATCTCAATAAGCCCCATCTTATTGGAGCAATTGGAATATCTGATGGGTGTGGAATAATCAAGGCTACTGCAATAAAAAAGCTTTTAAATGAATGGAATCTTTTTAAAGCAGTTGATAGTGTATCCTTTGATACAACTGTGAGTAATACTGGATGGATTAATGGAGCAGTGTCAATTATTGAGAGATAGAGAGGCAAACCACTAATTTGTTTAGCATGTAGACACCATGTTGTAGAACTTCGAGCTAAAGAAATAGAAAAAGCAACAGGCAAAGTTACAACTGGACTTACCGACAATACATTTGAAATGTTACACGATAACTGGGATAAAATGTTTGCTAAAGGAATAAATTATGAGAATATGAACAAGATAAAGTCTTACAGTTGATAAAGTATTACAGATTTGCAGTGAAGCTTTAAAAGAAAATGTATTTCCCAGAGGTGACTATAAGTACCTTTGCCAGTTAACAGTTGTATACTTAGGCGGATTTGTCACGGGATTTTATTTTAAAAGACTGGTGCCTTCCATCATGCAAGATATCCTGCTAAATCAATCTATAGTCTTGTACTTTGTAAACAAAATGTCACGTTTCACAGTTTTTGCTGAGTTTGTTGGTGTTTTTTTATACTTTTTGGTTTTTAAAAGCTCCTTTTGAATGTATGGCCAGATATGGATTTACAAGCAATCAGAAATATGGAAAATTATAAAACTAAAAGACCTGATATTGCCCAAACATGCATTGACATGATGAAACAACATCATTGGTACCACGACCAAAGAACAGTTATTTTCTCCATAGCTGATGAGGATCTAATGCCCGAAGTTAAAGAAAGTGTTGCTAAAAAGCTGTTTAACTCTGACTCTAAACAGAATGTTGGCAAGCCAAATTTTCAAGAGCAATACAACAATCCGATTACTTCTAATCTGTCATCATTTGTAAAAAGCATGAGTTGTTTTTGAGAACCTTGGATTTACAAAAAACGATCTTGAATGGTGTCAAGTTAGTTGTAAGGAATGGGGGAATTACAGCACTTACAGAAGATTTAAGGATTGGGTTTATAAACTACATGTAGTAATTGATCCTGCCGAAAGTGCACTAAAACTTATTCAAGACTACTTGAAAGTGTGCGTAAATGAAGCGTTGAAGCAAGATATTTTTCTGTCAACAGAAGAGCATAGAGCAAAACATTCAGTTAGTACCAAAAAAAGATTAACTTTCAAAACAACATTTTAACACACCATATTGTATAATATTAAAGTGATAAAGTGATTGATTATGTTTTTAAGTCTGTATTTATGATTCGAATGTTTTTAATAAAAAAAAGGCAATAATTGAAAGAAAATAAATTGTTAGATTTTCAAACAATATCTATAAAGTTCCTATAATATATTGATGGAACAATAAAATGTGATTGTTTACTGAAAGTTTTGTTTCATTGCAAAAATTAACCAAATAAATGCGCAAACTAAGTTGGCGCATTAGTAGCATAAAATAAGGAGGTTTCAAGAAAATTCTAAAAACTTTAACGTACTGGACGAGGTAGTAACTATAACTTTAAATAAAAATGAAAATGATTTTTTCTATGTACTCATCAAAATGCTCCAGAAATCAAATGACAACCTTCAATAATCAAAAATTTTGCGGAAGTGGCGGGGGCTAGTATGTATGTATGTGTGTATGTATATTTATGTATGTATGTGTATATATATTTAAATATATATATATATATATATATATATATATATATATATATATATATATATATATATATATATATATATATATATATATATATATATATATATATATATATATATATATATATTTATATAAATATATTTTATTTTAACACTTAATTGGAACACTTGCATTTATTTTTGAAAAAAAATGAATTATTTCTATATTTTGCATTTTTCTAGTAAATCGTCTTATTTTCTACATTTTGACAGATTTTGAAAGTTATTATTAGAGTATAAAGTTGAGTCAGTTGCAAATAGAGGATCATGATGATCATTGTTGTAGATAATTAAAAAATACAAGAGCAAAGATAGAACCTTGTGGTACCCTAATGTTACTTGAAATAAAGTAGTAGGTAGATCTTCAAGAATAATTTTACTACTGCAGTAAATATATTTTATTTTAACACTTAATTGGAACTAAATTTTACTAACCAAATCTTATTGAAGTAACTAAAATTTATGGTATAAAGCTCAACCCTTGTTTTGAAATGGTATGGATTTTATCAATGTTGTTTATGAGATTATTTAAAAAAGCCTTATCTTGAATAGTTATTGTGAAAAACAATTCTATAGCAGTTGCTATTTTTAATTGTGAAATAGTTTGGTTTTAATTAATACCTTTATTTTTTAATAAAAAAACAGAATTTCAAATTATTTTTTTCTACTTAAAAATTTCTAAACTGAGTTAAAGAATAAAAAGAAAATTCAGTTTCATTTAAAGCTACTATTTGAGGAGCTAGCAACTAAACTTAATTTGTCATCAAAATAAAATTATTTAATTTTTTCTCTCTCATGGTATGCATATTTTCTAGCAGAAAAAAAAATGATAAAATTTTGTTTTGTCTATTTTGAACATGTAAAAGTGTTTGTAAAAATAAAAGTGTTTTGTCCTTTATTAAGATAATGTTATAAAATATTTTGTTGGAACAACTAATCACAGACAAGCAGATGTCGTTTTGAAATTTGACAAAACAAAATATTATGTCAATATTTGATAGTATTATTTTATTTTTGATTGAGACTTGAATAAAAGAAAAATGTTTTGAAATATTACATAAAAAGTAAAGCAAGAGCCAAATCAAATATTAGAAAAAAGGTTGTCATAGCATTTATACAAATTCAATTACTTTTTATAAGTTGGTTCTGACAGAGTACCAGTTTTTATATGTTCTGTACCTGCTGTACAGAGCATGTTATGTAAAACCTAACTCTAAATGACGTGTTCTCTTAAGCTATATCTTATTTTTGTTTAGTAAAGTTAGTGTTTTGCGTTTGTTTTTGTTCTTTGGAAATTATTTATTGAAACAATTTACTTTAATTCAAAGTTTATTATTTATAATCTTATTTTTTAGCTTATTGCATAATAAGCTGATTTTTTCCTTGTTTATTTTAGATTTTTGATTTGCTTAAATCATTAATAATGAAAGTTTTTAAAGAAGATGAGAAGAGAAAAAGATCAAAATGGGTTAGAGGTGATATTCTAAATTTTAATTTAAATTTTCTAAAAAGTTAAAACAGTATTTAATTAATATAATTATTATCATTATTATATATATTATTTTTTGTTTGTTTTCCATTACTTCTTTTTTAAGATTATAATTTTTTATTTAATAAAATTTTTTATATGCTTATATGAAGGCATTTACTCGCATTGTAATTTTTTTTATTTACTTGCATTGCAATTTAATGAGAAATTGCAAAATCCTGAAATATTAAAAAATAATTACTATTAAGTAAATCTTTTCATAAAGTGCATTCAAATTTATTTTGGTAGATTTGTTTCCATCAACAATTGATTTGGAAAAGAGTTTATTAAAAGTTGCTACATACTGGTAAGCTTTTACAAAATTACTTAGAGTTAATAAAAAATGTTTGTTATTTAATAATATAAACAATATTAATCATGGATGGCATCAAAGTTTTATTTTTTTTATTATCATTAGTTTTTAGTGACATTTAAACAAGTTTAAATAAAAGTTTTCAATTTTAGTGCATGTTAGTTCATTTTAGTGTTGTTTATAATTAAATAATCTGCATGAAAACAAATAACCAGAACAAAAAATGGGAAATTTGATGTATGCTAACATTTAAATTTCCCATAAAACTTTTCAAAGCTTCTTTAAATATTCAACTAAATAGCAAAGTATTAATCCATTTTAACTCCGTTAAAATGGATTAAAAGTTAAAATTTATTAATTTAATCAAAAAGTGAAAATTTAATTAATTTAGCCACCATTAAATCATAGAACAGCACACTATTTGGATAAATTAAAACAGCATACTACTTGCATAAATTAATATCCAAAATTTATTTTATGACTTTATAAAGATACTTTATGTCTCTTTATATGTCATATATACTTCATTATGACACTTTATATGTCATATATACTTTATTATGACACTTTATATGTCAAATATACTTTATTATGACACTTTGTATGTCATACATACTTTATTATGACACTTTATATGTCAAAATTTATATTCTTAAAATTCTGAAAGTTGTTGAATAAAAGTTGTTTTAAAGTAGGAAAATTAGATATAAATTAAATAATTATAGTATTAATTAAATATAAATTATATTAATTAAAAAAATATAAATGGTATTATGGATATAACAGGGTATGATTATTTAATGTTTTTTCCACATACTGATTGAACATTTATCTTTCAGTAAAACATATTGGCAAGATATTACTTTAAGAATGGTGGACCTCGGTTTGGTTCTAATTGATAACTACACGCCAAAAGTAGGAGGTAGCTATTTTTTTTAAACTATCTATAAATAGTATTTTTTGACAGCTTCAGACTTGTTATACAACACTACTTTTAAAAATATTTTATTTGTCATGAAAAAATTATATTTGTCTAAATAATTGTCTAAAATATTTGTCTAAAATGAATAGATGAATTATTGTCTGTGTTGCATAAATTAGAATTATTAAAAATTAGTGTTTGCATTAATAATTTTATTTAAGTTAAGTAATGTATTATTTATTATTTAATCTTCATATAATGGTTATATAATATATAGATTAAAAAAAATATTTTAGCTTTAAGACATCACCTAGTAAATTCATGGGGCAGGTGAGGCTCCGTAGATATGGTAAAGGTATCTTGCATAGAAGAAAGAAGTCTTTAACATAGAACCCTTGGTTTACCATTGTAATCTTTCTGGTGATCTATCAAAGTACTCAGTTCTGATCTTCAAAACAGATTAACACATTCATTTGTAAAAAATTGTTTGAACACTTCCATAGTGTCATAATTGAATAAGAAAATATATATATTTTTTTTTACTTTTTGTTATATATTTATCTTGCCAAGCTTGTGTTCTCTACAGCTCTGCTACTACACCATTTCAGCATTTAAAAAAAAAAGTTTACTGGTTCTACTAATAAATGTATTTGTGGAACCCACATTATGGAAAACTATACAAACAACAAAATTTCAAAAAAAAATTGTAAAACAGCCTGTATTTATGAACCTCTTGGTAATTTTAAATATTTTAATAATGAAAAAGAAAGAAAATGAAGCAAATTAAAAGAAGTATAGAATTGTTTTTTTAATATTTTTTTAAATATTAAAAAATAAAAATGGTAGTGATTAAAAGCAACAAATAAAATACCAAAATATTTAAGTCATTAAATTAAATCTTTTAGAACCAAAATCTTTTAATACTTTAAAAGTGAAAAAAATATTTAAATCATTTAATACATGTCTTCAAAAATGAAAAAATCAAACACTATGCTGGTTTTTCTCATCCTAATATTGAATTCGCTAATTGTAATGAATTAATTTGTGTTTATGATTATTTTTTTTTATTAGACTTGCCAATTCGGAATGTAACTAATTTTCCAGGATCTTTTTTTTATTCATTCTACCTTATCATTCTATTCTTAAGTTTTAAATTTTTCTTTTTAATTTTCTTTTTTGAATTATCTTTTCTAATTCTAATTCTTTTTTAATTTTTACATATTCTTCGGACATGCTCCTTACAAGCAAGTGATAGATTTAATCATTTGTGGAATAATTCATAAATTATGGTGTATGTTTAGCTGTTTCCACAATGCAGCTAGGATGAAACTATTTGTTTCCACAATGCAGCTAGGATATTTGTTTTGTCTATAGTAATGAGGCTGTTTTCTACATCTTTACTTTATTTGACTTGTCTGAAAAGCAAATCTAAAACAATGGTTATTTCAATTCTGTGAATATTATTTTCAATGAATACTATGTTCAACGTTCAATGAATACTATGTTCAATGTTCAACAAGCCAATGATATCCAAACTTACTCTAGTCTTTTTTTCTTCTAAGTAGGAGTGAGATTTCGTTCACTAGCTTCTTAGATTTTTTTTTAGTTTTATTTAAACGGTTTTATTTATTTTTGTTTTCTGTTGGTCTTTTACTTTTCTGGGCTATCAATTTTACTTTTTATTTGAATCATGGTTTAATTTAAAGTCTTAACATTTTGAGTAATTCTTTGCTAAGGATGTTTTGTAATTTGCAAATTGATTGCATTGATTTTATTAATCAAATTTCAATAGTTTTTGTTGAATATCAGATGACTTCCATAGTCTTCCACATTACTTACAAACCTGCTTTGTACACTATAAAAAAGTTGGTTTGTAAACAATAAAATCTTTGATTTATAAATTATAAGAAGGTTGCCTTGTAAACTTTTTTTACAAATATGTTTATATCATTTTATGTAAAACCATATTTTATTTATAATTTTATTATAAAATGTATAATTTTATGTAAAACCATATTTATTTTGAAAAAAAAGCAAAAGATAATGAAATCTTAATGTGATGGTTGCCCAACCATACAAATACAATATATACAGTCTCTTGCAAAAGTTTAGAATCAGTTTAGTATTTTTTAGTTAAATCCATAATTTATTGAAAATGACATACACAAAGCTAAGATTAAGTTTATGTTACATACATACACATGTATGTTATATACATATTTGGTATGTTGTAACATAGACCAAATTAAAAATCTTTGTGTATTTCATTTTCAATAAATTATAGATTTACCTAAAAAATACTAAACTGATTCTGAACTTTTGCAAGAGACTGTAATATATAACCAATATATAGATACTTAATATTTAACTAGCATATATATAATAAATATAATATAATGCTCATGTTTATTTATAGAGCATTTTTCAATACATTCTAATTCTACAATTCCATTACAAAGGTCTTGCTTGCTTGGTGTCAAGTTGTTGCAATCTATTTTTAAGGTATATTTTATGCAATAGCAATAAAATTTTATTTTTATTGCGTTCAATTATTTGTATATGTTTTCTATTTGTATACATCATATAATATTTGATAAAATCAAAATATTTAATATTTAATAAAATTAAAAGTTTTTAAAATTTATAAGAATTTTTTAAAATTTAAGTTAAATTTTTAAAATTTAGGAGAGGAGTGAGTTTGCTTTTTGATTTTTGTTTGAATTTATTGTGCAAATATTTTTATGGATTTTTTTTTTGCATAATATACTTTTATGCGAACATGTTTGATCATTAACTGAGCAAAATTTTTTATTTAATTTAAGAATATTCTTGGACTGTCAAATAGTAGTTACACAACTATAAAAACTCAGGTGACTTGAACCAACATTATGGTTAATGGTTTTTTTAAGTTAGAGAACAAAGAATTGTAGAGCAATCAATATTTGAATTAATTAGCATCATTATTTTCTACCAACAAACAATCGTAAACAATTTACAATCTTATATGTTAACAATTTATATATCTTCTATGTTATAAAAGTTGGTTGAAGGAAAAGCTACAAAGTTAGCTATACCACATATTTATTGGCAACCAACTAACTGCTCAAATAATTGCTATTTCAGGTGTCTTTTCCACTCTCCCAAAATAAGGTTAGCCATCTTCAGAAGCAGCAACAAGTCACATCCCAGCTTTTAGTCTTGTGACATTAGCCATTTTGAATTATAATTTTTAAAATGTTTTTGAAGAATACTTATTATTACTAATGCAAATTTTTCTTTAAACCGTAAAATTTATTTAAAATGAGCTCACAACAAAACTTGAAACGAATGATTATGAGGCCGTTAAAAGAATCACTGAAAAAGCACAAGAAAATATGTTCATGAAATCTGAAATAATTTCTCTTGACATTAGAAACTAGTTGTTAGCTTTTAACACATTGTTGTTAATTTAGGATTTACATTTTGAAATAATGTTTTCAAATTAAATTTCCCGATTTAAAATTTATTGTTCTCTAATGTTTATCATGTAGCAGCCATTAAGGTTATTATCAGGTTTTCATAATAATCAAACAATTTTTTAAACCAAAAATCAAAATTAAGTTTTTTTTTATTTGATATATAGTTATAGAGTTGAGAGAGGGTTGTAACCATAAAAGTTTCCCCCTCGACTGTAGTGGCCTTCTTGGCCTTAGAGAGGTGAATAATTAAAGTAAAAACTTCCTGGGTTATATTTTTTGTAAGCAAAAAATCTTCTTTCTTTACAAATTTTTGAAGATCCTGTAGAAAATTAATTTAATTTTATAACATGTTATTTTTCTGTGAATAGTATAAAGGTTTTCTCCAGGCATTTGAACCACCCAACATATTTGGCTCAAATTTGGCTGGCTGGGACTGGCAGCAACTCTAAAAGTTATCAAAATTATTATTTTTTGGCTCAAACCTATTTTTATTTAAATGGCTAATTTTTAAATCAAGGTGCAAGTTTAATTTCAAAAATTGATAAAACTGATGAATCATCCTTTTGATTTTTAAAAAATTGATGAACCATCCTAGTACTTATAGATTACTATAGTTACTATCCTAGTAATAGATGTATATTATATATTAATTAAAAATAAAAAAAGTAACATCTCATTTGTTTTTTTTTTTTGTTGTTTTTTTTTAAGTTAAAAATGTACTTTTTTTTGTGGCAACAACAACAAGGTATTTATTTTTCAATATTAATCATTTTTACAATAGTAATAAAATAATAATAATATTATAAATAATCAATAAAAGTAATAATATTAATAATAGTCATGGTAACAATAGCAACATAAATGGTTATAATAGTAATAATAAAATTACAATAAGATAGCAAAATTAATTAAGAGTAATACAAATTATAATAATAAATTACAATTATAACAATAGATAAATAAAAAAATTAAATAATAATAAATATTACAATAATAGTTATAGGTATAATATTATTTATAGTAACAAGTTAATGATTCATAAGGGTGGTTTCACGCATACAGAAGTCTGATGAAAGGAGTGACACTAAATTTTTAAATATAATATGATTAAATTAATCACATAAACATACATTAAAAATAAATATGCACTAATAATAATTGAAACAACAATGTACAAATAATAATTGAATTAAATCAAAGGATTTGAGCTAATATACCTTTTTAAAAAACACTGATTTAATTGTAGTAATAATTAAAAAACTATTTTTGTAATAAGAGATAATTATGCCAAAAGTTAAAATAAGTTAAGTTTTTTTGTTAAAAAGGAGGCAAGGGCTCCACCACTACACCACTACCGCATTTAATTCTTCTACTTAAAAATACTAATTACATCACAAAAGGTTATCACAGATTGTTTTCTAGAATATATAAATAGATAAATATCTGCAACAATAAGTTTAGTTTCAAAAAGAAAGTGTTTCATTTTTTGGTTTCATTTTCATTGGTTTCATTTTTTCAAATATCTACTTAACCCTATAAACATTTTTTATATCTCATTTTCATCATCAATAAATAAATAAAATGTTTGAAATGCACATGATTTTATATTATTGCAAAGACTGACCCTCCTTTTTTGAAAGAGTGGCTTCTTTAGAAAGCAAAGTAGGCACATCTACAATTATTATTTTTTCAGTTTGTTAATCTACTTATTTTATTTAGCTGAATTTTTTTTAATACACTTTTTTATATTTTGTTGTTATCGCGTGTGCGTGTGCATATATGTGTATGTATGTGTGTCTATATATAAATATATATATATATATATATATATATATATATATATATATATATATATATATATATATATATATATATATATATATATATATAATTTATTCATATATGTATATAATTTATTTATATATATATATAAATTATATATATATATATATAAATTATATATATATATAAATTATATATATATATAAATTATATATATATATATATATATATATATATATATATATATATATATATATATATATATATATATATATATATATATATATATATATATATATATATATATTAGGGTATATCATACTAGAGCCAAAAATTAAATTTTTAGAATTTTGACTAGCACGCTTGGATTCCTATGTATTTGGGTATAGGGAATTCAAATATAATAATATTTTTACAAAATATTGATGTCTAGCTACCGGGAAACTGGTTTTAAAATTAGGGTTTTTTTTCAAAAATTAGTCTATTTTAACTAAAGCTTAATTTTGGAAAGGTTTTAGTCAATTAATACTAAAAATTACAATTATATTAGGTAAAAAGTAAACTATGTGAAATAAAACAGATATAATTATTATTTAACTTCCAGGATTCTAGATCCAGAGAGCGTAAAAAGGGCTACGGCTCCCCCCTCCCCCTTTTTTTTTTTTTTTAATATTTGATAGTTTTATTATGATTATAAGATCAAGGTATATTACAATTATTATATATATATATATATATATATATATATATATATATATATATATATATATATATATATATATATATATATATATATATTCCCACACACTGGATTCTCCCTCAAACTTACTCAAAATACCCGTTTAAATTAAAAATCTTGCTGTTATTTTTTTGCTACAAATTTTCTTTTCAGCCCCCTAACATTCTTTTAAGATCAACATAAAAAACAAGAATTTTTTCAAACATTTAATGTTATGCACAACAAAGTTTAAATAAAATCAAAAAATACCAAATTAGTAATTAAATAAGCTACTGAAAGTCTTTTTTTGACTTAAACAAAGGCATTAGTTCACGATTTCGCAATTGGGTTCTTATAAAACCATCTCTTTTATCCCAACCACAGACTGACTCAGCTGCTTCTGTGACTAATTTGACTGCTCTCTCGCAACTTTGAGTATGTAATGAGTATGGAGGTAGCTGCAGGGGAGAAACTATCAATGCATTGAGTTGGACTAACGACATGTTTGTAGTGAAAATTGGTTCAGTAACAACCTCTTTTTTCCAATCAATAAGTTCTTTAATGTCACATGCATCAAGGTTTATTGTTTGTGGAACTTTAAAAGGTCTAACATCATTTTAGCCCAACTCACTTCCCTTCCTAACGGCCAATATTGTGTCGACTGCAAATAACCTTTGTTCTGAGTTATCAGAACAGAGAAGCGAGACAAGTATATTCTCAGGATGAGCCCACCAAGATTCATTTCTGAGATAAAGTTTAGATGCTTCTTTAATCCTATCATCTTGCTTCTGCCAAAGTTGAAACAGCTTTAAAAGATGACAAGAACCGTATTTAATTTCATGCTTTACTTTTATCTCAAAGAACATTGGAAGATAAACCTGAGTCACTCAAGTTGCAAGCAGTCTTAAGATCTCTGCATTAACAGGTTCAAGATCATGCTTACTCATATAGAGAAGCAAGCATCTCATGCCACAAGTAAGCCATCGACTGTGAGACAATCTACCACATTTAAGAGCTTCTACTTCAGGATCAAGCTTTCCTTTCAGAATTGCATTCAAGTACTTCCATGCAACTAAACTGTCAGTGCTCATTTGCTTTAAGAAATCTTCACTGATATTAACAAGAGGCTCCAGAAGCAAAATAGGAGTAAATTGAGTAATTCTTTCAAGATTATCAACTTTGGAAAATAGTTTACCTACTGCTCCACACCATCCTTTATCTGAAGAAGTTGGTCCATCAAGTTTTTCAACAATATGACGGAATGGAAGCTCATTAATGTGAAGCCAGCAAAAAGATCTAAAAAGTTTTTGATTGAGAAGTTCTTCCACAAAATGAATCATTCCACCTTTCCATCCAGACATTTCATTTGTAGTATCACTGCCAATTAGTTAAAGATTAAGATCTTTACCTCTTTCCATTAACCAGTTGAATAATCCAACAGCACATTGCTTGGCTGGTTTAGATGTTTCTGACTTAGGCTTTGGTGTATAATGAGTAAGGTAACGACCTCTAGGTTCTTCTGTCACAGTTATATGATTTTCTTT